TCAGCAGTTGCTCTTCTTAGAAGCATTAAAACACAAAGATTTACCGAGCAGCAGCTGTTCACATGCAGAGCAACATTTCATTCCGAGTGATAGTCACGGAACCAATTACACTTCATTTTTGATAATTCCCCTAGACGGCTTTCAGTTTCAGATTTCATGCCCTCGCTGCTCATGATAATGACACTTGAAATAGTACGTTCGAATGTTTCATACTGGCCATTAATGGAAGGCCATTTAGTACTCAGTAGTAGCCGCTGTTTGATTGCCCTCATAACCGATAATAATTTATCTAATTCATCCCATTCCACTTAGTTTAAAAACTATTTGTATTCTGTTATTCAAGACTCAAAACTTGAAGCACCACCTTCCTCGAGTACTACTTATTTTCAAGATGCTTCGTTTTTAAGAAGTTTCCAAAACCTCATACTACCAGGATGCCGAACATCGATCCAGTTTCTGTGGACGGTCATTTCACTTGTCTTGCGCAAGATAGGCATGAGTTCATTCTTGGCGGCAGCCTTCTGCCGCTTCAATTGTGCCCAGCACTCCACGAATGCTCCTACACAGCGGATCGCACATGAACATCCATGCAGCTATGTAGTCTTGTCCAGTATGAGCCATTTTATTACTTGGACAACAGAGTTTTTTGCGCAAAATCTTTTGAAAAGCGCCATACATTCTCTTCGTGCTTTTTCACGCCACGACCAATTCGAAGTTGAACATTTATTCACTGATCTATTTCTATCTATTTCTTCCTTGTTCTTCCGAACTAGTAACAGAGCCAAGATGTTCACGCTTGTAGCGTAGTGGATAGAGGTGCCCTGCAATGTGCCTCTGATTTTTGCTTCAATCTCGCGCCCGAATTAAGCGCAGCCCTCTCTCTATCCATCTGGGTGGGCAAATTGGTACCATTGTTGCCTGAGAGATTAAAAATGATTACTTGGCACATAGATAGAGCATTAGAAATCGTTGCATAGGCAAGAAATGCGTCAAATCACCTCTAACGATGACTGATGACGTCAACTGCGTAATGTATTCCTGCATCATCAAGCGCTGATTAACGCCGAACGCCTTGCTGCTTAATCCTTTAATAAAAATAATAGACGAAAAGGCATATATTTTTGGCTTTATATCGTTTGGAAAATAGCTTTCCCGTAAAGACCATAGTGAGCTTAAGCACAATAACAAGATAAGCAACATTTAGTGTAGTCCTCTTGAACAATGTAATGGAAAACAACAGAGTAATAAAGTGCACAGCAAAATAATACGAAGGGCGTCATGTGCGTTAAGTCCAATAATTTGAAGTGCGCGCAATATACCCTGCTCGGTGCGATTTCACCTCCAATGCTCACCGAGCCTTCCATCTTTCTGGAGTCGGCAAATTGGAGCCAGACATTTCTGGAAAGATAGAAACATCGACTTGATACATCGATACACCACTAAACGTCATTGTATTGGCGAAATATACACTAAATTATCCTAGTGGTGCTTGAAGAGGTCGAGTGCGTGGCGTATCTATCAGGAACTGAACAACTCCAAATGTTTTATTCCTTATCCAGGCCCACTTGTGTAAATTAGTAAGGAAAAACGTTAACAAGATAATCTCTTGAGCTTTAATGTGTTGCTAAAAAACAGTATATTATTGTCACATAGGATTGCGTTTGAGTCGTATGATTATCCCTTTTGCAATCTTTGAGTCATGCAAAAGAAGTGAAGGAGGAAGCTTTGAAGAAGCTCTACACATTCAAACGGCTCGCAACATGCTTTATTGTGCTAATTTATTTCGATTAATGTGTTAGCCGTGCCAAAGCGCAGTTAGCGCTAATTAGGGAGAGAAATAATGAGGCAGATAGTGGATGTATAAAAAATCAGTACCTATGAAGGCTAGCATGAAGACATTACATGTTGTCATAGCGCTTTAAAAATTGGGCCATGTTCACGAAGTAAGTGACATGAGATTATTTCCGAACAGTTTCAATATCTAAAAATTTCTACAACGATTCACAATCTTCATTTCTTTCAAACGTTGTCAAGCTAAAACGCAGCTATGGACCGCTGTGTTTTTGCCCTTGAAGCTTCCTTCATGACATATTTCATCTATATCTAACTTAAAACATATCGTTGTGCTATAACTAATTCCATTACGATTTTAAGAGCATGTGAAGCTGTGTCCAGCCTCCTCTTCTTGCTTATTATGTTTTTGCGTATTTGAGAAGTACAGCTCACTTCAAAGTGCTACTCTCACCATAGCAAGCATAAAAACAAAGCAGTTATATGCACTGCATTATTGATGAGCTTGTTACAGATCCTTGTTATGGGTAACGTTTCAACGCTTTCGCCATCATCAAGGCCATGATGATTTGGATGGAGTGCCCAAAGTAAATGCTTCGTTTCGAGATGTGATAAAAAGCATTGAGGGTGACATTCCTTCATTCGTGCGCTGCTCCACTCTGCTCTCTTCGTCTCGACGTGACGGCTATAGAGACCGATATCGGCAAAAGAACTGGCTACTGCGAACACTCGCCTATAATCATCGTAGCTTTCATGAGGGCCAAATTGCTGAATTGGCCATGGCAAAAATTTCTAGCAAACTCGTGCAAGTTCTTTAATGAACCAAGATATCGATTATCCATGCCGAGGTCCAATGATAGTAGGCACTGATATCAAACCCCCTAAGTTTCTGAAGATTTTCTGGTTTCGTTTTATCTTCGCCATTTCAGTTGGTATCTTGTGCCTCCGGCATTTATTTAAATTTGCGCATAATTATTGATAGAGTCCTCTTTAACTAATTAATTGGGTGAAATGTGTCCGTCAGTGATTGATTTCCCGTCCATTTGGAAACAAAATTTTATATCCAACTACTATTTTTTGATCGCACACTAATGTTTCTCCAAACTCAAATTGTTACAGAAAGCGCTACACTTTCCACTATCATTTACGTCCATCACAGAAGCATTCTCTGTCCATGAAAATCACTAACAGGGGGATTCTTGGTGCCATGAAATGAAAGGCAGCGTGGAGTTTCTTTATTTAGCGGAATGAAAATATAGAGTATAAGACGTTTAGCGTTGATCAATCTCTGAGCGATAGCAGAGGGACATCACATGCATTCGGCACTGCTATGCATCGAAGAAAGGATCAATACATAATTTATCAAGTCAGCGCCTTCACCCTTTAAGAAGGCTAGAGAGCTTGATTAGATTATGTCGCAATGTCTAACCAAGCGACAACTTGTGGACTGCGCAGGAAACACTCTAGCAACTGCCCTACAATGGTTCTTCAGGTAGAAGATAGCGGAGTGAACGCAGATCGAAAGCGAGTATATTTTCTCCTTGAGAAGCAAGTGATTTTGGGGAACTGCTCCTTTTATGTTGCTGAGCATTTCAACCTCCTCCATACACACTATGATTTCCATGCATATGTAAGTGAATATGCTATGTGGGCAAGCTATTGCACTTATATCCAGCCAAGAAATGCAATCAGTTTACAGATAAGCGTGTTAGAATAGGTTTGAAAGTCCAGCAATGTATCGAGGATGTCAAAGCTTTGAAGTAGGAACCAGGAAGTTGTTCTGAATATCATTGGGAAAACATACAAGAGAGCATTAGGGCCACTATGCAAAAAATTGGTGCCTTTCGCGTTCAACACAAAACCGAAGCTGTTCGGGGTGGTTGCAAGCTCCTACGATTGACGTGAAGAAATCAGGAACTTATAGGTCACTGAAGTCATTCAATGATTAACGGAATTCACAGGTAGCTTTTTTTGGTATACATTTAGAAACAGCTCAGTAAGCAGTAATGTTGATTCTATGTCATTTCAATAAATCCACTGTAACGATCCGGTTCGCGTGACTGAGTGGTTTATTGCTATGATGGTCCCGGCGTAAGTTCATTACGTCCCAACAGATTAGTACTTCATTCAAGCTCTGAATTAATCGGCTGCCGGCTATGCTTGTTTTCATGAATTTCTCGGAAAACTGAAAGATCCAGTAGGAAAATATGAAATATATGTTATTCAAATTCGCATGAGAATGTGAGAGGCCGGCTAATTGCAGGTGGAATGCTATAATATTTCAAATAGCGTGTTTGATCGGGAAGGGATATTGCTTTAGTAGAAATTTATGGGCTTCAGTTTTTTCCTGATGGTGCCAAGCGACCAAAAGAGCATCATAGTGAGACAATCTTGCACTGGTGAAACAAACTACGAAATCATCTAGGAGAAAACGTGAAAACGAGGAACAAGAGACAACTATAAACAATTTATCCGATAATATGGCAAATTTGGTCACGATATTACTTCGATTAACATTTCGATTGTTTTCTTAATTCCATTTAATTGAGCTGATCCTATAGTAGCCATTTTTGCTTTCTGTCTAAGGTATAGGGCGCGTGTGGCACAATGGTTGGGGGCGCCCTGCGACACACACAGGGGATCGATCTGGGTACCCGTGGCTCACCAAGCCTTCCATACCTCCATTGTCAGCAAATTTGTTCCAGACTTGTCTGGGAAGATATCAATGCTGGCTCGATACATCGGTAGGCCACCGCGAGCCATTGTAAAGGACAGATATGCATTCAAACCCTCCAACGATATGAATGCGTCGTTTTCTTGTTCAACAATCGCGAGGTTTCTAAGCCGTACTTGTTGGCTGTTCTCTGGTTGACCGCATTTCTCGTGAAGTCGCTTTCGTTTTATAAACTTCGGCACGACTCGATGTTGAAAACAGCGGCGGAGAAAGTTGATTTGCTGTTTAGCTAAGACAATCTTCTGTCTTAAAAAAAAACCTCGCGATTGCTGAACAAGAAAACGACGCCTCCAACGATACTTAAGGAAGTCGAATGCATGATGCATCCCTCGGAGCTTGATCAACGCCGACAGCTTTACCCTTTATCCCTTTATCTAAGGTATTATCAACATGTTGGGCTTTTTTTCTTAGTAAAAAAATATCTTCGAATGCGTTTAATATGTTTATGGCACAAATGGTCGAATAAAGCCACGAAATGCGAGCTGAGAAAGGAAAGCTGGTGAAGAATCAGAAGTCAAGGCTGGTTAGTTTTTCTAAGAAACAGCGATTCAATTAATTCATTTCTTGGAAACGATCATAATGCGCTGAAGACTGAAGTGGCCACTTTCTGATCGTCCTCGTATCCATGTACAGTAACCAAGTGTCGTCATTGTCTTGCTGGTGAACGTCAGAGGAACGCGTCAACTAGTACGGCTGTTATTTATTGCGGAAGATTCTAGGGAACTATATTCTGAAATAACACAGTGGTTAGAGATGCCTGCAATACACATTGCTTTCTTGGCTCGAGCCCACACGTCGGGTTAATTAAGCCTCCCATCATTCTTGAGTTAGCAAATAGGCACCGGCTTGTCTAATTTAACTTCGGCATTAATAAACAATGCCCTCTTGAATTACTAAGCTAATACGGGCTTGATGAAGATGTTTATTCGGCTAATGTTGCAAAGTCTTCGTCTTCCTTAGAGCTGGTGATCCGAGTCGATGGTCCACAGTCATTTATTATTAAGAACAACTGCTACAACAGAAAAAAAAGTGAGCTTTCAAGTGAGTTGTCTCATTCGATCGGTTCTCCAATGAAGAAGATTCGACTGTACACGAATAGGAAGACGCCACATCGAGAAGACTGTGGACCATTGACTCGGATCATCGGCTCTGAGGAAGACGAAGACGTCGAAATGCTAGCCAAATAAACATCTTTATCAACTCACTTGATACAGCGCTAAGCTACTACAGGTCATTTTTAAGACTAAATATGTGCTTACCCACTTGTACAATCTTACGTGTGGAATCGAATTCATGGCGCGTCCGTGACCGACGCCGAATGGTTCATCCTTCACACTCTGGATAGAGGACTACATTGCTAACCCTGTCGTGTTTGGGTATAAATAAACAAAGGGAAAATGCAAGCGTGGAACAAAATTTTCTTCCTCTTCCAAATAATCTCGCTGAAAACAGCTGTATAGTTCAAATAAAAACTCTTCTTCAGGTTAACTGACATTAACCAAGAAAACACCGTGGAAATATAAAACTTTACATTCGAATTCAAAGTGATTTACTTTCTGGAATCTCCTTTCTCTCATGAATTCTATCAGCTAACGAATTGGTGCACTCGTCAAACGCGCTGGGTAGAGGTGCCTCCAAAGTGAAATGCACGTTGAGTCGTCTGATAGTTCGATCTCGCACCCCAGGGTCAGAAAACCTTCCATTCATTCATAGTTTCCAATTTGACACCAAAATTACCTGGGGAAATTTTAAAAAAACCACTGGCTTGATGCATTGGTGAGTCACCATGAGCTACTTCGTAGACCGGATATCCATTCAATCACCATTAACGGCGTTTGATGAAATTGAATGCTTCTGCTGAATGCTGAAATGAATCCTTCAGAGAATGATCAATGCCGAGAGCTTCATGCTTTGTCCTTTTTGAGTTGCAACTCGATCAGAAGACGTGGTTCGTCAACGGAGAGCCTCATTTTTTGGTTACTTAGATTACGTGCAAAGCTCTACCATCTTCCATCTTATCTACATTGGATTACATCTCCCCGATCCTTTTTACTTTTTTTTCTATGGATATATTATAAAAGAATAAGAAGACTTCATTTCACGTCCAATGGTGTTTCTGTGCTTCGCAACATATCTGTGCACTCGCACAGCTTTAAAGCCGACTCCAACACAGATAGTGTTTAAATTGATTAGGAAGGAAAAAAACTGGAGAAAATAAAAGCGATAATGGAAGGAAGTAATGCAGAGTGTATACGCCTGTGTACTCGTATTACAGCGGATGATCCTTGCAGCTGGTACTTTTTCCCACTGCCTTGAGAGTTTTCTCACGGCATTTTCCATTTCTTCTTAAGATAATAGGAAGCAATTGTGTGTGTGAAAAACTCTCAGCTCAATAAGGATGCATCTGTTGGATCTGGACGAGTTTTTGCGATCGTGGCTCCGCTAGATGGTAATGCTGGGCAGAGATGCCCGCGGGAATTGCACGCAGCCACGCTGCCATCTCCGCACTCATCGACGGACGAGAACGTCCGCGAACTGCCAGCCGGAGAACACTATACTGAAGGCCATGGTACTGCCGGTATGGTTCAGAATGAAGCGCGGAATGGTGGAGACGGAGGCCAACACATCGGAATGCGAAACTCTCAAAAAACATTTCGGCGTAGCCACTGCTGTCGTACTCTACCGACCATCTATCCAGTTCACATCATGGAGCTTCGAATTCTAGTGAGAATTCTCACTGTTTTCCACTGAAAACACATAATTATGAAAATTGCGGCATTTCTAAGACAAGTTGATCTCAGATGGCTTAAGATACGCTTTGTGAAAAATCGATTCAGCGAAAGAAAACGATTTGTATGCGGTACGCAGATGTTTTCCTGAAAATGGACAAGATAATCTTCTTGCACAATAGATTTTTCTTTTAGAAACATTTACTGCAGACTTTTGCGTGAAAGAGGATCAGTTTGCAAAGTATAATTGCAGCTAGGACGAAAAGTTTCTTATGATGCTTTGATGAGAAGTTATGGAGTGTTATATCGCACGGGCTTCCCATTACCATCGGAGTATTTACGGTTACCATGGCAGAGTAGTACGGGTAGGTAACGAAATGCGTGAGTGAACATCAAGCTAGAGGAGACGATTGCCTGACGGCGTACTAGTCAGGAATCAGAGAGGCAAACAGCGGAACGATGAATGCAATAATGAAAAGTGGAAACGCATTAAGGCTCAGCAAAGAAGCGTATGCAAGGCAATACCATCTTTCGGTCGTTACCCTCCACTGAGGCCGGTTAAAAGCAATTTAAGCGATGTAATAGAGATGATCGATGAAGTGCGATCATCTTCTGAATGTTTAACTTCTTATTTAACGGCTATTATTTTTTTAAAGTTCGGGAATTATGTGAAATACAATCACACTAGAGCTGAGATAGTTGCAAAACTCGGAACCCCAAGCCAGCTTCTGTGCTCATCAGCTCGTTCCCGTCTACAGATGATTATTGGTGGTTACCATTGGTGTAAGCAACTGGCTCAGAGAAAGGCAAAGCAAAGGCCTCACTGGTGCAGTGAGTTACCGGGTGATCCCTCGGAAAGGATAACTGAGGATTCGAAGCTGGCCTGGTGTCTTCGAGTTTTGCAAATCTCTTAGTATCATTGCGATCTACCGAATTTTTGTTACAACACCAAAAGATGTGTGTTAAAGGTGTTTTGCCGCGCACACAAGACCGTACATTAAGTCGCGCGTCCATGTGAAAAATTAGCCATTACTGCAGGGTCTTCAAATTCGCGGCAAAGTCGTATGAATAGCTTGAATGCATTGAATACGTTGCATGGACATCAATAAGTCGTTGTGTTTCATTCAGGACGAATGTCGAACATTTTTTCCTTTATGGAACGAATCAGTTAGGGGAAAATGATTTTGATATGTATAGAAGCAAAAGATGAGGTTTTTCAAACAGTTCTTTTGCACTCATTCAGTACATCTGCAGCAGTGCCTCTCTCGTGACTGTACTAGAGGTACTGCACCGCAACTAGATGTGCAGCCAGCACGGCAGCTTCAGCGATGTGGGCGTGGTCTGCGCGCTTGCCGACGTCGAAGTCTCGAACTCGATATCCGACGTCAGTACGACGATGCCGCCACTGTCGCAGAGCCTTCTCGCTGTAACACTTCTGTCCATCGCAATCGTCGTTACCAGAACCGCTTCAATACCGGTGAGTACCACTTGAAACGTTAACCAGTACAGATTTAACCAGACATGGCTATGTCGTTTTTATGCCGATTATTGGCCGATAATCCTGAGGCAAAGTGATTCATTTCCTAGTTTAAACGGGCCCTGAGTTTTACTTTGCACCGTTTATGCAGCTGCCTGATCAAAAACAGGGTGGAAATTATGCGTAGAAACAGGAAGACTCCTCGTTTCTGTTATTCGTGGTTCAATTTTGAAACACTCAGCGCCGTTCCATCTCGCGGCTTTGTAAGATCGATAATGCTAATGACATCCAAATACTGCCTTTACCAGTCCTGTTTTCTTCTACTACAATCAGGCAAAGGCTTACCGAGCTTACGGAACAGCATTCATGCCGACAATAATTAGTTTCCTATTATCGAATAACCTTAAAACAAAGTCGTATAATTTAGAGTTTTAGTTTAGAGTGGTATGTTTTGTTCAATCTCTCTCTCTCTCTCTCTCTTGTACCACTTTCAGTGGTGTTCTTCACATACACAAAATTTTGTAATAAATTCATCCATGGGATTCTCAGCAACAACGGCACCACTTTGTTGGTTGAGAGCTCTTTCACTTCACTCATGTGGAGTCGTTGCTCTTTAGCTGCTTTCACCTTTCATAAGGCAGTGTTTTAAGGTAATAGCTGACTGTGAATCTATAACAATAATGAAGCGCTTCACGGATTAAGCGTCGACGAAACGAAACAAAAGTTTAACCTATTTATGAATTCTAGTAGTTATATTTACTTATTACTGCTTCCAGTGGATCCAGCAGATGATGTTAAGGTTTTGTGTCAAACTTCCGCGAGATCTATCTTGTTCTGAGCTACAGGTGTTTCTAGCTGCATTCTAAGATTTCCACTATTTGCTCGCACAGTACAAGTTTTTATGACGAATTGGGCGATCTCCTTATCCATTCAAGCTTCCGATTCATTTTTTTTCTAGGCTTTTAATGAGCAAAGAATACTTCTTCCTGAGCCCTTGACTCGTCCGGCTTCTCCTGTCTTTTCATTTCCAAGGTTGACTTCTGTTAGGTTGATTGGATCACTTTTTCTTTTTGTTGTTTCCGTTGATGGAGTTTCGAACTTCAGCATGTCCGTTCTCGCTCATATTTCTCTCATCATCAACTAATTGCATTCCCTCATTAGAATCCTCCATCATATGCTACAATTTACTCCAAATATGAATAATTTGAAGGTTAGGTGCTTTCATCGACGCTTTCATCGAATAAAGAATTAATTAATTCATCGAAATTCCTGTGCATTTGTCAATAGCCAATGTTTTTTTGAAAAATGCTTCGAGAATAAATCAAATGTTCAGTACCATTAAATGTTCTGCATGGAAAGGACCTTTTGCGACAGAAGAAATGCCGAATGAGCTCTGAACAACGAATTCTTTGCTTATCATTATGATCCGTAGACGTATTAGCGGATGTGTTTTAAATATAAACAGTTTTATTGCTTCAATAAGCGACTTTCTTTCAGCTCTGTATGACCAATCAACACGCATTCTTTCATTCATAAGCCAACCCGAGGCTGATAAACGGCTTTTGTTCTGCTAACGTCTCGACGTTTTCGTCTTTCACAGAGCTGATGATCCGAGTCGATGTCCACAGTCCTTCCTACTCTCGATATGTTGGTATCTTTGTCGTCGTATAGCGTCGGACCTTCTTCGGTGGAACACCGGTCGAATGAGGCAACGTCTCACCAGACGATGTATTATTACGCTTTGCGCTAGCCGATAATGATACCGACTGCAGCAGGATGGATTATCTGGTAAGACCAGTATTATCGCTGCACAATTACTAGCAACAGCCCTGTATATAAGAGCATTGCCGAATGAGGTGGTCTCGTTCGAGCGATGCTCAACTGAAAAAGATCCGACTTGATATGGCGATGAAAACATTATATGGAGAGTACGAAGGACTGTGGACATCGACACGGATCACCGACTCTGAGGAAGAGGAAGAGGTCGAAACGCTAGCTGAGTAAAGTTGCTTGCCAACCTCATGTTCGCTTATCAATGTAAGAATACGTGGAATCGTTATTATTATTTCAGAATTGGTCGAACTATTCAATGAGATTTGGAGTTCTAAGATTTTTTGAGCAATGCACTTTACTTCGGACGAATCATGTTTGCTTTAATTTGACGAGGTGAATTGCGTATTTGTCGTCTAGATGACCAGCCCGATGGGCCTGGACGACTGTGCTCGAGAAGCTCTGAGTAGGAACTTATGAACCTCTAGAATTTCCTCTTCAGCATAGGAATTCTCGCTAAACATGCTTAACGTCACCGCTGCACCAATTCGTCCTCAGCCCAGGGTAAATTTCGCTGATTTGTACTTTACAATTAATATCGGAAGTTTTCTTGAGGTTCTCTTGTGGCATCTTTGGTACGCTTGGAATGCTTATCCATCCTAAGTAGTAACTTTCAGTAACCTACAACTGATGCATCCAGTTAGTGCTACTATCATCTTAAACAAGTCAAGTACTAATTTGTCAAACCAGAAGGTAGAGAAGGCTAGTTTTGATCCTGGCGTAGTGTCCAACCTCCGCCGTGTGTCTATTGCTGGTTACATCCTGCTACTGCACCATACACGCCGCATTGTTCCCACAATTTTGGAATTTTCTGCTTGCATAGACGTCAGCATCCATGATAATATATGTCGTTGAAAAAACGCTTAAGCGCTCCATGCAATATTTTATATTTCAAACCTTCGACAACAGATCCTCATTAAAGAACACCTATTGCCTGTTCATGAGCTGTGTTTTCGTCTCAGTAATTTTTTCTAAAACGCCACTTACAGAACATGTAGATGAAATTCGTGTTTATTACCAACATAACTTTTATGGGCGTCTTTAAATGAGAGTTCTCTTTATTCTTATTAGAGAAAGCTTCCATTCACTCATGCTATCAACGTAAATAAGGGCGGTTAAGAAATAAATACTAAGATGAAGTAAAACCCTTTTAGGCATAAGTTGGTTCCAATCAACCCAAAACGGGCTCTAAACAATTTGAGAAATATCTACATAAGCACAGAGATGGCAAATATCCTTTGAATGACTTCCTTGCACACTCACCGCTTTCTATGAGTCTGAGTATCTCGCGTTGAGACAAACCGCACAGAAATCACGTGAAAGCGCAATGCGCCCTTCCCAACAGGCTTATATACTGCCCAATATCACGCATGATAATGAGGCATTCTTCCCTGTTGTTCATTTTCGGATTTCTGGAATTAATCCAGCATACCTCGGGAGTTTTGCGCGTTTGTGTTCTCGATTCCTGTGCGAGGATCGTGACACGTACTTCAAAGTCCTCCCTGTTATGTCTCTGGATCCTATGCGTGCCAACTGGGGTATTTGGTTTATATTTGCCGACTAGGTGTTCTTTTATGCGGACACAGAGTGGTCTCACCCGTTTCGCCAATGTATTCGTCTCCGCACGACTTACAGAAGATCGGATAAATTGTACGCGAGCTCACCTCTACCATAGGGTACTAGCTAGCAGCCACTAAGTTCCAGCGCCAACTAGTTCGTAACCGCCTAAATGACCGTCTGTGTGCAACTCAAAATTGCATAATTTGCCTTAGTGGTAGAAACGATGATTGCATGAGCTCGGGTATAGCTTATCTGATCTCCTGTAAGGCGTGCGGAGAGGAATACATTGGCGAAACGGGTAAACTACTCTATGCTTCCATTACGGCACATTACGCTTCCATGTGAATTCTGTGTGGTTGGTCTTCACGCGAAGTGGAAGCCTCATAGAAAGCGGTGAGTGTGCAAAGAAGTTGTTCTATGTTCAATGTGATTGAAATCTCAGTTGAGCGTTTTCTCTGTTTGGTTATGGAGGTGTTTGGCCGAATAGATTGCTGTCAACTTCACCTTTCCAGGCTCTGAGGAACGCGAAATCCGCCGAAACGTCAGCTTGTTCGTGAATAAAGAATAAAATAACACCTCGCGTTTGCTCAACAAGAATACGAAGGATTACTTGACTAATGCCGAGGTTAACAGAAAGTCGGTCGTGGGATCCTTTGAATGAGTCAACGTGAAAAGACTTTTCGCTTTCAGTAGACTGAGAGACTAACGCAAGTCATACAGCAAGAGTTGAACTATCTTTTGAAATGAATCTTCATCCCTCCTTACAATTCTCTTATGAGTGGATATCCACTCATGCCCGTTACTACATCGACATGCGTAGATTCCTGTGAGTGAAGCTCCACTCATTTCAGTCTTTAAGTGTTAGAGAATAAGCGGCGTACTTCTGCTTTCTGATTCCCTGAAGGATAAAAAACCGTTAATCCTTGCCATGCTGGTTGTAATCTGATCACAAATGGCAGGGAAGCGGCCAACCGTAAATAAAGGTCATGCAGTGCGTATTTTTTGCTGTTCGTAAACACTTTGCGAAAGTTCATTCATTCACCAGCTAATGGCTAATAAGGTTATTCGGCGCTTCTGTTATTATAATATAGAGAGACTATTAAGGCGACGTAATCCAAGCGCTTGAATCGACTAGTTAGCCTCGAGTTATTAGAATTTAGGATCTCTTTCTTTTATATTATGGGCTCCTAAACAACAAAGAACAATCTCCTCATGAAGTTGCTGTAAAGTCGATGCACACATTTGCAAAAGAAAAGTGTAGCGTAAGACTCGCGCAAGCACTCTTCTTGGAACACTTGAAGAATCAAAACATATTCAGTTATTCGATTGCTACAACAAATATTGTAAATGAAGGTCCGTAACGCATCGAAGGCAAAAAAGATGGACTTAGTGCCTGGCATAAATCTGAGCTTCTCCACTTTAAAAGAACTTTCGGAAAATCGCTTCGGAATGTGGCAACTTTCCTACCATTTCGCTTTCTTTTTATAGATGTGTTACGAGCGATATAGCAGACATAAAGCGAACTTAAGGTGCCTTTTCTAGTCTGAAATTGTTTTGAACGAAGGGTTTTTTCCTAAACTTCTCGACAGCTGATAGCAAAATGCTTGAAGAGCTGTGAGGCGTTCGACACGAAGAAGTCGTTAGGGGACGGCGGCACGCTCCGGATTAGGGCCCCTGAGAGATCAGTGCTGAGTCAACTGCGATGCTATCGATATTACTCCGAATAAATGCGTTTTCTTTTTCTGCAGTTGTAATTAATTTGCCAAGTATCCATCTCTCGTTTACTTTGTTAAGTATAAAATTGTCTGAATTCCATCGATTTGCATTCATGCCTTCATCTGATGAATTGATTCCCAGTGATGATTTAAGCACAAACGGAGTTCACCTTTTCTTTTTCTGAACAAATCTAAGTTGACCTAACAGATTTAGCTTCACAATGTACGATGATTATGCAGTCACTGATCAGATGACACGACTATCAGTCTTCCTAAATGAATTTGCAATTTTTTCAGCCAAGGAACAACTTCCATAGTTAAAAAGGAGAAAAAACAAAGAACGCCTTGCTATTTATTGGCGTAGCCCAGTTCTCTTCCTAATGACACAAATGAATGCGGTCTAGCTAGCTAAGCTGGCCAATGGATTCAAAAATGCATTTTCATTCGACTCGTTTATTCCTTACTAGGTTCTCCGGAAATTAATGTTCGATTTCAACGTGCATTTGCAAAGTGGCATATCTCAGTCTAGAATCAACTGGACACATTTTTGCTCACGGAGAACAAGTTCATTTATACCAGTTGCGTGAAATTATGGGATTCTAAAGACGACGAAGCCGTTGGAGGAGGTTTTAGCCTCGGCCTTGTTTATGAACCATTTCTCGCACAGAAAGTTGTCGGAAAGCGTCTAGAAGTGGTATTCGGTAGGAGAGAACTCTGATTAGTATGATGGCTGGGGCAAAATTAGCTCAGCTCGTTTAACCTTCTTCGACGTCGATAGTACGATGTCTCTAGCCATTCGTTATCGAAGAGAAGCACTGGTGCCTTTTTGTTCACTTGTAAAGAATGCAGCCACTGAAGGTATTCGTGCGTTTTCTCGATTTCCTGGACGTACTTCTCCGCCCTAATGCTCCAAATGGTTTCAGGGAGCTTAGATGGATTAGGGCAGAAACACGTCACCAAACAGTCTGTATAGCCGCCTTTTGGTGCAATTCCGAGTATGAGCAGTACTGCGGAGCTTCATCACGATTCGATCAGTGGGCGAATCGTGGCCGGTTAATATTAACAGAGTTAATATTATAGCTTTCGAAAAAAATCTATTGCTATATAGTACATAAGAAAAGCGAAATTGCCAATTCAACTTCAATTTCCGAACAACCTAATAATTTCTCACCACACCATGGCTACGGTAATTCCTGTCAGGTGGCAAGTTACGTTTTATTTTTGTTGTTGCTTTTGAACACCTCAAATAACCATGGATAATTGTTAGTTTCAGAGAGGGAAAGAGATTGGCTCAAAGCATACGAGTCTACAAGAGCAAGGTGAGATCTTTGAGTTTATAGTTTGTGGAAACAGTTGTTATGATTCTAAACACTTCTGATAAGTCTGCTTACCATCATAAATATAGATTATACTGTCGACAAAAGGAAACCTAGTTTTTTGCCACGGTACTCGATGTTTAACTAAGATTTGCTATTTGTAACGACTTTCAACCGATTCGTTTCTATCTGGAAAACGAGTCTTTTTTGATGACAACGGTGTTCTTCTGGGTTGCCAAGGTAGCAGGTGTGAAGAAGGCAGCACATTTTTTACCGACACGGTCGGCTTTCACTTTAAAATTTTTTTTTTTATATGACCCATCTTCATGTCTACTGTGCGGATCCCAACACTTCTCACATTCGCTTCGTTTTGTCGTATCCATTGTCCACGGAGATCTTCCAACTTTTACGTCTGGCTTCGGTTAATGCTCGAGGAATTTCTTTTCATCTTGAATGTCATAGAATGCTGGTCCAGTCGAATTGCCTTGGAGTACTGAGATAGCGAGGCTGGAACGTTCCCAATTGGATCGTAGAGAGTGATTTTTTTGCCTGAGAAATCCGGTTCCAATTTCCCGACCCGGAGGGATGAGAGGCTTGGTTGCCCTGGAGCGGATTCGAACTAGCACCATGCTCGTGATGACCGACACCACTACCACTGTGCTGTCTGCTTCATTCACTTTAACTTTGCTAGTAAAAAATTTTGTCAATGTTTAGGAAAAGGCAAACATTGGACGGAATACAAATTCAGCACGATTTTCCTTGATAGTATTCTTTGGTTGAATTCGCTAGCATCTCCGCCGACGACCTTCTAAGCGGTGTGGTAAAAATTGACATTTGGTAGGATGGAAACTGGCTTGAAATTCTTCGTGCGGTTGCGTGCTTGCTCGCTTTGTTCTTCCTTATAAGATCCAAATATGATGCATTGGTAGAAGAAGACTTGTCGGAAATTTTCAAATAGTTATTTTTTTTCGTTTTTTGCCTCTGAAATCGAAATTTCCAGCAAGATCTGTAGCGGAGAAGAAGAAACTGCGAAGAGGCAAGCGGCATGTGATCTACGAAGGTGCCGTCAACGACGACGACGACGACGACGGCGTCACAGAACAGGCGATGCTCAAACAGCAGCTAGAACGCAAGTGCTTTGACAATTCGCTAAAGTTGGAATGTCCCATCTACACAGCGAGAAAGAGAACCGTAATCCACACGAAATCGACGCAAAAACTGAAACACTGGGCAAAACAGTTGAAAATATTAGAAAACTACACTTTCGATTACATGTTCGTTTCATAAAAGTCATTTCTTGGCTGTCTGAAAGGGAAGCGGAGAATCCCTTTTGGACGTATTGAGGACCGCCGGTGATTTTTAACAGAGTCCGTTTCACCTTTGGATTGATAAGCGGAGTTCTAAAAATGTGTAGGCAAAATTCTGTGCAGTTCAACAGTTTTGAATTTCTAGAATGTCTAAAATTCTTCTGAGCTAAGGATCAGAAAAAAAGATAGAGGCATCATGCGAAAGCGGATCGTCTCGCGCACTTCCATAATGAAGTTTGAGGGAGTATAGGACGTTAACCGAGGATTCTCCTATCTAGAAATCACCTTTCCTGGTCTTATGTTACAAATCCAGGATTGGGACAAGCGCCTACATTTCATTATGGAAATGGCCTTTCGACACTTAGGCTCGGTACGAGACATTGGAATTTGACGGTTTTTGTGTTCCCCTTTTTGAAAATACCGCTGAGTATGTTGAAAATACCAGTATTACTACTATACCCTCGTTCGAATATTTCTCTAACAATCTTCATTTTGTTTAACGTTTTGTTTTCTGCCTTCTATAATTTTCATGGCAGGTTACTAAGCGAAATACAACCACAACGTTGCTGAGATATTTGCAAAACTCTGGACCGCAGGTGTCTATGGTGGGGAACGAACGCGCTATTATCCTTTCCGGGGAGTAACGCGTTCACCACCACACCATGCGGGTCCTTCGTTTCGCACGTCTCTCAGCTATTTCTATCGATCTTTTTGTCACAGCAATCTTCATTTTTTTATTTACTGCCTCTCTTTTTAATTGCAGGGTATGTTGCGAAATATAACTTCTATGATGCTGAGATATTTGCAAGACTCCAGACCGCACGTGTCTGTGGTGGGGAACCAGCGCGCTAGCACCCTTTCCGGCGGCTGATGCGTTCACCACCACATCATGCAGGTCCTTCGTTTCGCCTGTCTCTCAGCTAGTTCTATCGATCACTGCCATCAGCAATCACCCGTCAACGGGATTGGTTTTGGGAGCCCAAGTCGGCAATGAACCCAGTTAAGCTGAAGATATAGTTATAATCACAATCTTGATCTTCATCTTAATCTTAATCCCCACCGCAGACACCTGCGGTCCGGAGTTTTGCAAATATCTCAGTATCATAGAAGTTATATTTCTGTAATACTTTGGAATTTTTGCACCCAAAACATAGACCATAATATGGTATTCTTTGAAAATAAAACGAGTCAGCTGACAATGATAAGAGAGGGGTAATGATGAACCTCGTACTTACACTATATTTGTTTCGATAACAACATCGACCTCCACTAGACATTTAGTGTTTTGCATATTTATGCATTTATAAGAATTTACTTCATACATCTGGATTACTATCGTTCGAACTGGAATAATTTTTCTTCGTATTTTTCACGAATAAGCTGACGTTTCGGCGGATTTCGCCTCCCTCAGGAGCCGCTTTCTATGAGGTTTCCACTAAGTATGTAGAAGGAGGATACTTACATACTTAGTGGAAACCTCATAGAAAGCGGCTCCTGAGGGAGGCGAAATCCGCCGAAACGTCAGCTTATTCGTGAATAAAGAGTAGTAACACCTCGCGTTTGCTCAACAAAAATACGAAGAATTACTTGATTAAGGTCGAGGTTAACAGAAAGTCGGTCGTGGGAATAATTTTTGTTATTTCAAGCATACTTTTTGCAAATCTCACAAAACTCACAGGGCTTCAGTGTCTAGGGTGGAAGGCGAGCGCAGTCCTTGTATGGAGAAACTGAAAACGAGGAATGTATAGGCGTTCTTCTTGAAGTCTTTCGAAGAATTATCCATCAAGCTGCTTTTCGGTTCACATAAGTCGTCATGTGTGTGTGTAGATGATTAAAGATCTATGAGACTCACAGACGTTGGATAATGGGAACAACCGTGTTATAAATCGAGATTTTGTTGTTCTCTATGGCTACTGCCTGCATACTGTTGACGTGTTCTGATTCCGCTTGAGATCTCGATAACAGGAGCACCCAGTCCGGATCTAATTGGTTCCTATCCAATACCTTATATTCTTCTAGATCGTGGCCATTTATATTTCCTAACTTTTGTCAGTTGATAATCGACTTTTCATTCATATTCGTCTTAAACTCGGTATCACGGCTAGCCCTAGAGCGAAATCAAGAGATTGGAACTGCCAGCAACGTCAAAATCGAAGACGGCCTTTCGTACTAAATTGTCCCCTCTTAGGAAATGAGTTGAATTTCTCGGGAAACGGTTGCTCTCGTTTGCATCTTAGTTTAATAGCACAATTTCGAGGAAGGAAATCATTTTCATAGAGCAGTCTATTTCATCTCAATCGTTTTTCTTCGAAATTGTTGTATGATTTTCCTTAATCAATAACTGAGACAGGATGGCTATAACCACAATTGTATATCCATCTTTGTGGCAAACTGCTTTTCATGAAATCCTCTGAGTAACGAATAACATTTTGAAGCAACGAAAGGAAACGTAAAGAGAGGATCCCCATGCTGAATCGCAACCTGCACTCTTCCGTGTGGCGCACCACAATGGAGTACTTTTACTTTCTGTTTTCTCTATGTCGACAAACTTTTGTACCGGTTACAACCTAACTTTTTGTGTACACGAATGGCGTCTGTTCACACGTATCCTGGTCGAACCAGATATTTGTCTCGTTCATTCGTGGTGGATGTTCACATGACGATTGATCTGTTTCGTGCATCGTCGGTGACGTCTATGAATACCACATCATAATTCATACCATGTCCAACTGATTGAGACCTTCTCCAAATATGGCCTAATACCTTGTTGATATTGGGCGTAAGGAATTCGTTCCTCCTGGGGTCTTATTTTATGACTTTTTCGTCCATTAATTTTTGAGTTGAAGGAGCTCTCGTCTGTATTCTACCTCATAAGTGTTTATTGTTGTTGCCAGCATTACGGTACATTGAGCGAACTGTGACTGTTAGGGTGATAAATAGAATGACAATCAGCGGGCTAATTTGACACATCCCGTTCGGAAGACAAATTCAGTGAAACCGCGGAAAATTACACATTTATAAGAAAGGCACGACTTTCACATTTTTTTAGAAGAAAGGCTAATTCGACGATTACTGCTTGCAATTACAAGAATGAATTGTAGCACATAAAGCAGACAATTTCGCCACTATATCTAACAAATTCTTTTTTTGAATATGTGAGAATTCCAATCTGCTGTGCTGTAGAATCAGTCTAATCACGAGCAGGAGAATCTCTACTAGAATGATGTCGCATGTTTTTCAAGTAATCGGGGAAAGCAATTAGTTATGAAACTATCACAACGCGGACAGATTGTGGTTGCGTTTGTATGATGTAACTATGGAGCAGATACATTTGCCTTTAAAATTTTTAAAAATGGTCTACATTGATGAGCAAATTGCAGAGCTCTCCGATGGTGAACTGGAGGCGTTGGCTAACATGGTTCGGGACGAGGTAGACCGGTATTCGATTCCACGCGTTGTCAGCGTGCCACAGTATCAGATTATTGAGATTCCTGACGAGGTAGTCGACGACCCCATTGTGGAAATATACCCCAGAGATCGGCGATCACTTCCGTTGGATTGGCCGGAGACTGAAGAACCGGAGGTGAGTTGGTTGATCAATAATATGACGAGTTCCTCGTCTTTTTACAAAATACACCTTTGTATCCTCTGTTAGAGGCGAAAAATACAGAATTTTTAACAGTGCGTGCCAAGAAAAAGACTAAAATAAAGTTCCCTATCGGGTGGAAAGCGTGTGTCCGGGATTTAACCTAACCTGAAATTCTTCGTTATGTCTTAACTTTTGGTTTCTGTCTAATCTTTTTCATAGCAGGTTACTCTGTGGAATGCAACCACAATCTTGCTAAAATTTGAGCAAAACTCAGTACCGCAATTGGGCTTCGTACCCCGCAGTTACCCTCACCGGGTAATCATACGCTATCCACCACACCAACCAGGGCCTTTCTTTTGCTTTTTCTCCTTTAGCAATGTTTTTGCTGTATCGGTGCATTCCTATTGATGGCGATTGCTGGTAACATAGCATGATAGCATCTGAGATATTGGATACTAGGTTGATTTAGTGTATGATTGTCAGTCAGCTCATTGCTAACAACTAATGAATACATTTATGTCCCAATTATGAATTAGAATAATATTATACAACATGGGGCCCGTGTTTTGCCGTGTGTAGCGTGCATCTGTGATATGCACTGTATTGGGCACGATTCCGCGTTCCGGGTTCAATAAGCCTTCCATCCTTCTGGGGTCAGCGAGTTGATATCAGACGGAATAATATCACTGACTCGATACATCGCTAAGCGACTGCATTTCATTGTATAGGTAAAATGTGTATTCTGTCGCCCCTACTATGCTAATGAAGTCGAGCGCAGTATTTAGTAAACGCCGATTGATTTCGCATTTTTCTGTCCATAATATACCAGTTGAAATTTCTGTAGGAACTGAAAATCTGCGCACCTATGAAACTTGTCATGCTATCTCATAACTCACATATTTAGTAGCAGTTATCTCGTTAGGAATGGTGCGTGTGTGCAGTGGTCGGAGGCGCCCTGGAATAAACGTGGAATCGATCCCCGCGCCCGTGGCCCACCAAGCCTCTCATCCCTTCGGGGTCGGCAAATTGGTATCAAGCTTGTCTGGGAGGATAGCGGCACTGTCTCGATACATCTTTAGGCCACCACGATGCATTGTAAAGGCCAGATATGCATCCAATCAACTGCAAACGATGCTTAGTGAAGTCGAATGTATGGCGCATCTCTCAGGGATTGATCAACACCGAGAGCTTCATCTGAACTTTTTATCTCGTCGAGCACTTGCAGATTATAGTATCCTTTTCGAAAAACCGCATTCTTGGTAATGACTTCAAGTGCATACCATGGCTTAGAAAATTGGTTTTCTACAAACGATTTGGTTCACTTCTAAAGCGGGGTTAGAAAAGTAAGCAAAATCATATGTGGGAAGAAGGTAATTTACTATGAGTAGTAGTAAACAACTTGAACAATCTATTAAAAAGCCAACTTTCATTGAACCTCAACAACAATAATCAATAGTTTCTTGAGCTAGACGCTAGATTGGTCTAAAACTTTTATACGGCAAACGTTTCGGCGCTTTTGCCCTCTTCATAGCCGCGTTGATCCGGGTTAATGATCCCAAGTTGATCGTTATCAAGATTTAACTCGATGCGACTACGAACACCCACATCGCGACAACGATCATCTTGGACCATCGACTTGGATCAGCACGGTTCTGTAGAAGGCGAATGCGCTGAGACTTTAGCCGAATGAAAATTTTGAACCGTGATTAAATCAAGTACAGTTCAGAGTAGGCGACAACATTTAGGTTTTCAAGTAGGTTCGAATATCCTTTACTTTCATGGAATTGCATATTTTTATTCAAATATTTGTGTTGAAGTAAAAATAACGCACTTATTTCCGAAAATCTTTTCTTCTTCTTCGAGCAGTTCCTAGGCTTGGGCACGCAATCCACCTGCACTCATCCAAAAATACTACCAGGTCTTTAATTCGAGTCTGCCGCTGCTGTCGAGGAATATCATCCAGTCTGTGGCATAGCGTAAGCTCAAGTGATGAATCAACATTGTGACTACATCATATGTTGGAGTAATGTCTTGGATGAAAACGTTCGGCATCTATCAATTACTTAGGGTTGATCCATGTATTCGAATCCATTCGCAGTATTATAGAGGTGGTTGGATGAATATCTGGCCAATTAAATAGATTATGTGGGCCTCCCTTCGTGTCAGTTCAGTGCTTCTGTCCTCCCAGGAATATCTATTAGTGGTTTCAAGATCCCAGATGGGGTGTTTGCTTTGTTCTGTGCATGGGATCGAATCAGTGTAAAAGCGTATATTGCAAAACACTTCTAATCCATGCGCTACGTGCTTCCGAGGAGTATACTTAGCATAACACTTTTCTGATATATTTCGTTTTTTAGTATTTCGTATTTCCGGATGAAGCGATGATTGAGGCACTGAGGCAAGAGCAGGACGAGCAGGAATTGCGAGATCGGATCGCCAAAATCGCACAGATTCTCAACGAACGGGCCATAAGAGGTGCTCGATTCACCTAGCGCGCCGGTTTTTTATGCTGCACTCTCTGTTATTTACGGTTTACTCCACATTATCCTTGCTTTTCCATATGATCTCTATTTCCTTCTTCTTTGCCGGTGTGAGTTTTTTGTGCGGCGTTTTTGAATTTCTTTCCTATTCGCGATCGTTATGAAAATCCTATAACGTTCCTCTATTTGTCGACTGTTTGCTGGTCACGTTCTAATTTCTTCTACTCTAGTCATCTTTCCTTTATACTGGTCATAAATCTAAATTAGTTATGGCTTTAGAATGGTGGTAGAAATAAACAAATTTACTCGTCCTCTAATGATGCTTGTAATTTTTCTAGAGAGAAGGAAGCAGCAAACAAACTTCGACTTAGCACACGAATGCATGTATTGAACGTGAAAAACTAGCCGAATGATTTAGTAAAGGATAAAAGATAAAGCTCTAGGCGTTGATCAGCCCTGAGAGATGCGCCATGCATTCGACTTAACTAAGCATCATTTGGAAGCGGTCGAATGCATAGCTGACCTTTGCAACGATTCGCAATGGCTTACCGATGTATTGAGGCAGTGCTGCTATCCTTCCAGACATGTTCGGTACCAATTTGCCGATCCAGGAGAGATGGAAGGCTTGGTATGTGTTGCAGAGCACCTCCTACTACCACTGCGGCACACGCACCCTCACACGAACGATTTGGTACTCGAAAAAAGCCAGAAGAGTTTACATGCACACTTAAAATCATATTTCATTCGTAAACATTCAACAAGTGGTCTACATTGACAATCAACGACATCTGAGTAATGCCGACCATATAGACAGACTTCTGCATTGCGGCAGAAGAAAATTCATGGGTTCGGAACCATATATTCATTTTTTTTACCCTAAGCAATAAGGTGACATCATGTGCTACTCCAACTCAATTAATGAGCCTTCCTAGGCAGATGCTTACTTACTAAGAATTCGTAGTTATTTTGCGAAAAGGAGACAGAGCATGAAGCAGAAAGAGAGAATGTGTGTGTGGAAGGGAGGGAGGTAGAAAACTGAGACTCTCTTTTGAGTGTTCTTGCAAATTTGCATAGAAAACACACTCATTAGCCCGTCGGCATCGTGAGACGAACGATTGGAGACGACGGCGTCGGTGGTAATGAGGCCGATGAGATGCTGGTGATGGGTGCTAATAGCGAGTTGCATGGATTCAGCTAAATGTACACGTTATGATAATGAATGAGGTATGTTTTCTCATGTTTTCTCATAAATCTACGTGGAAGAGGAAGTAATTTTCACAACACCATCTGCTTCTGTAACAGATCTTGATGGTGTCTTTCGATGCACCGTTGATGTGTGCTGCTGCCGTGGTTGTGTAGAAATTTTGAAAAACTTAAATTTCTAAACAAACTCGAAATAACCAAAAAATATTTTAGACGAATTTTCTACGCAATTGCAACGATGATTCGAAGCTCTCTTCATAAGTCGCTGAAGTCCTCAGGTTTTAGCTGTTGTAGAAAAACCAGATTTGACGATGAGACCATAAAAAAGAACGCGGGTGGCGCAGTGGTTGCAGGGGCCACTGCGCCACACATGTAGAATCGATCCCAGCGCCCATGGCTCACCAAGCCTTCTATTCCTCCAGGGTCGGTAAATTGCTACCAGACTTGTCTGGGAGAATAGCAACACTGGCTCGATACATCGGCAGCCCACCGCGAGCCATTGTGAAGGTCAGATATGCATTCAACCACCTTCAAACGATACTTAATGAAGTCGAATGCATGGCGCATCCCTCAGGGATTGATCAACGCCGAGAGCTTTATCCTTTATCCTATATGAATGGCGTTTTTGAGCTCTCCCAAATCTCCTTACATCAAACCTCGCTCGGATTCGAGATGTAGGGTCAATTTTTCTTTAAATAGACTGGTGTCGAATGAATACACGGAAACGATGAGCAAATGTGAAGCCTTCGTGGCAACATCGATTTACACCAGCGACGTATACTCCCCGGCGTATACTTCATCCCTTGCGCAAGGCAACCTAACTTTATAACTTTATAGCATGCAGTCATTACCTTAAGTTAACTAGGACACATATTTAAGATGTTTTGTCTTATTAAAGCAAACATTGGAAAAGATTCTACTTCTGTTCAGCAAGCACGAGGTGCTATTTTATTTCTTTATTTACGCACAAGCTGACGTTTCGGCGGATTTCGCCTTCCTCAGAGCCTGGAAGGGTCAAGTTGACAGCAATCCACTCGGCCAAACACATCCATAACTAAACAGAGAAAACTCCAAACCAAGATTTCAATCACATTTAGCATAGCTCTGCACACTCACCGCTTTCTATGAGTCTTCCACTAAGTATATCGAAGCATATATATCGAGTATATAATCCAAAAATGAACCGCAGGGAGGAATGCCTTGTTATCACGCGTGATATTGGACAGTATATAAACCTGTTATTCTGATGGGAGGGGCACATTACGCTTCCATGTGAATTCTGTGCGGTCGGTCTTCACGCGATTTACTCAGTGGAAGACTCATAGAAAGCGGTGAGTGTGCAGAGCTATGCTAAATGTGATTGAAATCTTGGCTTGGAGTTTTCTCTGCTTGGTTATGGAGGTGTTTGGCCGAGTGGATTGCTGTCAACTTGACTCTTCCAGGCTCTGAGGAAGGCGAAATCCGCCGAAACGTCAGCTTGTGCGTAAATAAAGAAATAAAATAGCACCTCGTGCTTGCTGAACAGAAGTAGAAAGATATATTCAATCAATGCCGAGGTTAATAGAAAGTCGGATTTGGAAAACATTCTATTCATAAAATCTCACTCTGAGCTGCTAAGAAACGTTTCGACTGTAGACATGCCCAACTACGTGAAAGAGATTCAATGGGTACATTGTTAGAAAGATGGTCGGCAGATATCGAGTCATTAATATCCTTCGTAATAAAAAATACTATTTAAAAACGTCTACGTTTCCGTTCACGGTTAATGAGAGAAAAAAATTGATAGGTTCCCTACAAGCAGAAAATATGACCATCTCCATTTATACTTCTTCGCTATGCCACTCATAGATCTGTTAAAAACACAGTTTTTCTTAAAAATATCACTAATCGAAGTAAATTGTGAGACAGAAGAACCATAGTAACAAGGCGAAGAACCACTCTCAGATCCAGGAGATCCACGAAGTGCTACATTTGACTTCTACACAAGAAGACGCGGAGAAATATAGAAATATGGAGCGGCAAAGTTGAACTGAAGCAACTAGTAATTCCACTTCGTGTAAAATTAATGCTTCTGTTTAAAACGACATGTCTTTCGCTATTTACCCTCAGTGTTGTCCCATTTTCCCATCGCACATAGCCTGCATCAATAGCGCTAGCAGCTTATTATACCTTTGAGAAAAATACAAAGTTTTCAACGAACATTACTGGTCTCACACACATGTGCGCTTCTTCTTTAGCTCTTCTAAACAAAGTGTGGCTATCAACTTGTAACGATTGAAATAATGAGATCTGGAAAGAATTCACGAACGTCACACAACAAAACTTTTAGCAGTTTAGCCAGATCGTTTACTAAATTATTAGAGCTGGTACTTGCAAACCACTCCTTTTTGCAAAAGTAACAACCTGGCTAGACGATGCCTGCCTACAGTTTTCACTTTTGGTGAGCTTCATGTATAACCTATGTCGTGACGACTTGACAACTTCAAGCTCGTAATCACTTCTAGGGAAATAAAACCTACTACCCAGATAACCAAACGAGGTCTACAGTTCGCGCAGAACAAGCCTTTCGCTGAATGGCAAGTAATGGGCTGTCAGCAGCTTATAACGGCGCAAGGTATAATGTCAAATGTCCATCATTTAAACATGTTACTATTAAACACACATGTAGCGCACTCCAATAATAGTTTACATCTGTTCTTTTCTCTTGAGGTGAAGTATCATTTAACAATGAGTCTTCACAATAATGTTTTGCAAAGAGCAACCGCAAGAAAAGACATCTCAAGAGATCAAGGAGATTCATTTTGACAATATTTCGAACAAAATCAAATTCAAAATGACCGAAAAGATATAGTCCTGAGTGATTCATTTAGTTTGTTTCCTTTCCTGTTTTTGAGCTTCGTGCTTAAACTTGAAAGCGGCCAGCAGCTACAATGAGTGCCGAGATCTCACCTGTTCCCTGTTCGCTTCGCATAGCAATCGAAGAGCACTCCTGAAAATCATTGAATTACACTATGAAGCTGGTCGTAGACGAAGAATGTCATCAAAGCGTCGAAGTCCAAACATTTTAGCGAACCATTTGGTTTCTTGTGAAGCTTCATCCCGAATGAGAGCGCAACCCATCTGTTTTTAAAGGTCCTTATTCCACAGGACTCTTGCCGTTCCCAACAAACATACAAAAAGAGTCTTAGAAAAAGATGGTTCTTCTGAGCTTACAAGACGTTAATAAATAGATTTATACAGCTAACTTTTCAACGCTTTCGTCTTCATCAGAGCAGACGATCGAGTCGAAGGTCCACAGTTAGTAGATGATTGTTTTGCTATTCACTACCTGCCAGCTAGCACAATACCGACTGCTTCTGGACGTGTTATCTATTGAAAAATTATTACCAACGGATATTCATATAAATAACACCGCTGTATATAAAATAACACTGCCGGGTGAGTATGCGTCATTCGAGTGATGCCCACTGAAGAATATCTGCTCGATACGAAGACGAAGACGCCATGTCGAGAAGAACAACTGTGGACCATCGACTCGCATCATAGTCTCTGATGAAGGCGAGGACGTAGAAACGTTAGCCGAATAAATCTGTTTATCAACCTCGTGTAAGCTCAACAATTCAAACACATGTTGATTACTTTACTACCAAGGTTAAATGACGTTCGGTTGGAAATTATCGTTCTTCCGAATTTAAAAGACCATGGACTTGTCTTTGGTAAACTGGTCTACATAGTCCGATGGATGACGCAATTTTATGTTTCGCAGACGTTGCTGCTTTTACATGTAACATATTTCTTCATATAACGAAGGCTTTTTCTTTTTAAACAACACAATTTAGAAAGTCTGCTAACAAGGCGCTCACAATATTTTAAATGCAAAAAAACGCAACTGTGAAGTTTTATATGACATGTATACTAAGAAACTCCTTAGAGTTTCCCTTTGAAGCTTGATGGTTTCGTTAAAGTGAATCCCTCTCATTCATTTGCATCCAAGCGATGCTTCATCGGTTCCACACTCAAAATTCCCAGAAGTCCTGCGACCGCTGAATTCATTTGAAATAAAACGTCCAAAGAGAAGTGACCACTTGTAAATGCCAACAGATATGGTCTATTTTCCTAGTCTTGGACGGTTTCCATTTCCAACTGAGGAAATAAACGCTTTACAATAAGTAAGGGCAATGCTATCAGCGATTACTATGGCAAGTGAATGCTAGCGTTGTAAACTCAAAAATCGAGAGTTTTAGAAGGGCATCAAGCTTGAAAACTGGTGTCAACTCCACAAATGTTCCACAAATGTCGTTTCTAGGCTAAAAATGCTCTCTTATACTTACAACTTTTATTTTTAACACTAATACTGTCTTATTTCTACTTTTACATAACTTCACTTCAAAGATATTGTGCGGATTACAGCACTCTTTGGATTCGTTTAATTTCTCCGCATCTATCATCCACGAAGGACTTCGGATTTGGTTGTGGGTTGGATCGCTACCTGAAGATTTTTGTTCTCCTTCATGACTGCGATTGAATGGTGGTCGAGTTGGCTCTCGTGAGGTGACCTTATGCAAGTCTCATACCAATTATTTGACTATGTAGTGATGGTGGGCTAGTGACCCAGGAGTGGGCTTAAAAAGTTAAACATTGTGTCGGTTTATCTACTGCCTTTCGTTTTTTCACGACAGGGTATTACTATGAAGGACAACCGCAACAGACGTTTGCAAACTTGGACTCCAAGCCAAATTCGACCTCGCGGTTTCCATTGATGGGTTTATGGGGCGGTTAGAGTAGAAAACAGGCCGAGAAAAAAGACAAAGCAAGCGCCTCGGTGGTGCTGTGGATAACATGTTAGTACTCGAAAAGTTTAATCGTGGCTTCGAAACTGGCCTGGGGGTGGGAGTTTTGCAAATAGCTCAGCATCATTGTCGTTGTATTAACTTGACACACTGCACTACTCAAGCAAACTATTATTTATTTGACGCGTCGTCATTTCACGTATTATTTTATGTTATCTCAAAATCTTTAGTATTACTGACAAAGGTTTTTGTCGAAATAAAAAAAATGTGGTTTAAGAAACATGTGTTTTACGGACCAAACGTGAAGGGGTCATATTGTCGAAGTACTCACCCGTTTCTATTCGCAATAGTAATGGCGTCCTTCAGAGTGGGAAACAGGCATTCTTTCTCAACGATTTGAAAAAAGCCTATCGCTTCGAGAGCTGAGCGTAGTGCTCCTGCAACATGGATCCAAAAGTCGTGTGAAACACTCAGCTTGCTCAGGTCGATCCTGACATCTCAAGAGAAAAGCAACGAACCGTTGGCACCAGCAAGATACAACGTCCCTCCTTTATTCTTGAATTCCTTCGCTATCTAAATAGATTAGAAGTACAGCTCTAAAATTCCACACTAGAACTATTCATGCTTCCAAAGCAGAAGGTTTGGAGAAGGTTTTCCAAGGTTTCCGTGATGGAAGTGTCTGTCTTGTCAGTAAGTAAAAAATTTAAGCCATGGATTTTTTTCTACAAAAATAGACCAGGCTGAAGATAAGACGCTATAACGACGACATTTAGAAACTCGTTGCCTGAATTCTCTCTGAAAGATTGGTAACCGATTTCCTAACGTTTTTAATAGTATGTTGTAATGGAGTTGAAGCCTCATTTCCATTCGTTGATGCCTGATTTTTGATGTACTTACTAAGAAAGGACACTTATTCTAGCCACTAACTATCCGTGAATATCTCTGTCCCCGTACTTTTCAAAAGAACCTTCGCCCAGTGAGCATATGTCTTTCAGGAAGGAAGAATCCAAATACGTAAAGGACCTCGGTTAAGGCACAAACTGCCGTGTAGTCGCAACTGGCAATAGCAGTACAGTCCATTACAAGGAAATGCGGTTGCTGCTTGTTCCAGAGTTTCTGCGGACGCGTCGGCATTTCCGCTTTTTCATCTTCCTGTAGAAAAATCTTTACAATGACCGATAAAGTTGATATATTTTGTCGTTTCCAAGATAGCATCATAAGAATTATACTTGTAATGTTACAAGAGAGAATTTTTACAGTATACCTTTTCTTCTTGTCTATCCCATGTTTTTGCCCAGTTCTCAATTGTCAGTCTCAAAGAAGTTTTAAACCTGGAAAGTTTTCTGAAAAACCGTAAAAAAAACTTTTCAATTCAAACTAAGTCACCTAGTCACTAAGCACATCAAGGATAATAAAGGATAAAGGATAAAACTCTCGGCATAGATCGATCCCTGAGGGATGCGCCATGCATTCGACTTCATTAAGCCTCGTTGGAGGTGATTGAATGTATATCTGGCGTTTACAATAACTCGCGATGACCAACCGATGTATCGAACTAGCGCTGCTATCCTGCCAGACAAGTCTGGTACCAATTTACCGACCATGGGGGGATGGATGGCTTGGTGAGCCAGGGCGCGGGGATCGATCCATATGTGTGTTACAGGGCGGCTCCGACCACTGCGCCACACGCAGAATCAGCACATGAAGGGAGATCCACATTTTGAAAAATTCTAGTGATTAATTCTAGTGATCCTTTCTACACAAATGTACACATGATTAACTTTTTTAATTCAAAATTGCTCATGTTTCCTTGGAGCGAAAGGGAAGAGGATGGGTATTCCTTCATTAATTAAGGACGGTGCATATAAATCTTCAGCGAGCTAATGGATTGAAAACAAATTTCAACTTTATACTATATTTGTTCTGAGCGCAATTAATGCATAATATTTTCCTAAATCCTTTGCACCTGCTTTCAGCAAGTTCGTTTTTCATCAACAATTGATCAGCCCCCTTCAGTGTGAGCGTACTGAGATGAGGTTCACCTTTTCAACTTAACGATTCTTTCTACACTAATGTACACATTACACACCTTCATTCTACGTTAGCAAATGAAAGATTGCTCCCATCCATCCACAGGGAAAAGTGAGGAGTTTCCTATTTCATACAAGCAAGAATGCGAACGCGATGCTCCGAAACACACCCGTGTACGCCAATGTATCGGAAACCAGGTACCGTTAACACCTTAACAGCAACTGGTGGGCAAGAATCGTTAGCGACTAGGTCGTACGCAATGTTAAGAACTACAGCGATCATTTCGATGCTCAGAATTTTTCGAGAGGCTCCTAGCAGAAAAAACGAAGCTTGATAGAATTGACAAAACCCATTGGGGCACTCTTAAATGCGGAAGGAACAGACGGAGGCTTCATGGCGCCCATTTCATTCACTCGACAATCAGCGGCAAGACAGGTAATACAGGTGATGAAAGATCAGACGATTCTTCTCAGTTTTAATTCTCATTTAATCGTACACGGCTATACTTCTAGGTAGATAACCTCAGTTCTGCAATATATTAACAGCTTCGTTTCCGTGAAGTTAAACTTTGTAGTGATCAGTTTCGAATATAAATATGTCCTTTTCTTCACTTTATGAAGAGTCGACCAGGTGAAATGTACAACCGGAACTTGTTTTTTCATCAATAACCATGATATTTCGTTCAGGAGATAAGGATAATGGTCTCCGTTCTAAGTCCGACAGCGCAGGTAAGAGCCAAAAGATTTATGCCAAAGTCGTTCACCCTAGTACTTCTTGAAAGTCTATTGGTAAGCCTTTAAAACAATGTTGGTTTTCTTTTTTCAAACTCTGCTGCTTCTCACCTCACTTTAAGCAAGGTTGCTGTTCAAAGCAAAAAAATTCTTGAGTTCATCACCTTTCCACATTAGTGAACAACAACGGACCATCGAACCGAAATACGCACACGTCGGAGGGGCCAATGGCTCCTCCACTATCATTCGCTCCTGTTATCTTCGTTGAAGGAAAGAAGTATTGCCACTCAAGCCTGAAAATAAGATTGGCTAATCTTCTGGAAAAATCCACACAGTCACCCAATGCCATTACCATTGAGATCTACCGATTACTGTAAACAGTGCGAAAATTAAAGAAACAGCTAGGCCTTCCATGACATTGATGAACACCGTGCATGTGAACGATACCACCCAAATGCTCTGAAACAAAGACAGCAAGATTAGGACGAATGAAAAATAGATCAACCAAAAATGAAAGATGGCACGAAGCAGCTGTGATGTTATTAAGCTGAAATTCGTTGGAAACTAGTGTTTACGTAAAATATTGTACATTCCTGTATGGAATGATGACTAGCGCGATTGCCAACCTTGTTAAATTCTTGAAGGGCCTTTTTTTTCAGTATCCCTATCCTGCAAGATAAATTGGGGATGCCTTTACTTCTGGGTAATAAAGAGATTAATGGGAACGTTGAGAAATGAAAAAGTGCATGGCATTGGTCGAATGTGAATCAAACACTTCTACTTACAAAGTCGATCTTCGAAACGGGATAGATACTTTTCAGTTCACTGTACTTCATAAACATCGATTTCAGCGCGACAGTGATGATCGAGGCTAGCACGCACTGAAAACAGAACTCTCAGCGATCTACCATCACCGACCATCGTTGGCCATTGGCCATCGACTCCCGCGACGTAAGCGACTGGTATTAAGTCGGCTGCGAACTTATTCCGATTATTCGAGGAATGAAATCATTTCGATTAACTTAGAGGAGAAAAAGTCATGGTTGTATGGTATTCCTATCGAATTTTATAGAGATAAATTCATTACGAACCAACCGAATATATGTCTACTCAGCTCAGAAAGCTAGGAATGAATTACATATATTATTTTGTAATTGCTGTTGTACAGCAGATAAAACTTTCAAGTGATAATTCGTGGAAAATTAGACGTGGTTAACAACGTTGACAAATGCGAAATGAGTTGTGTTTAAGCAGAACAGCAAAAGGGAAGTACCGATGGAAGATCTCTAAGCAGCGGACCGAACCATAAAATGACCGCCAAGAGCAGTGCACAGCTGAACAAGGCAGATAACTGAAATAAGAAAGTTAGTATATAACCTCTATAATGCTGAGATATTTGCAAACCTCCGAACCGCAGGTGTCTGCGGTGGAGAACGAACGCGGTATTATCCTTTCCGGGGAGTAACGCGTTCACCACCACAACATGCAGGTCCTTCGTTTCGCCTGTCTCTCAGCTAGTTCTATCGATCACTGTGATTATAACTATAGCCTCAACTTAACTGGGTTCAATGCCCATTTGGGCTCCCCAGATCAATCTCGTTGACGGGTGATTGCTGATGGCAGTGATCGATAGAACTAGCTGAGAGACGTGCGAAACAAAGGACCCGCATGGTGTGGTGGTAAACGCGTTACTCCCCGGAAAGCATAATAGTGCGTTCTTTCCCCACCGCAGACACCTGCGGTTCGGAGTTTTGCAAATATCTCAGCATCGTTGCGGTTGTTAAATTAGGACATTTTTTGTAGAAAACGACTTTCACCTAACCTCGATAAGAATAGTGAATAGCTTGCTTTATTGGTAAGTTCACAGGAGGCTGTATAAGTCCATTTTGTGGCGGACGCATTGGGGCCATCGCCTTCTTAAACGCTACGATGGTTCGAGTATGGTGTCACAACAGTTATTTCACGTGATGTGTGAGTGGAAGCACTGTTGAGTTCTCGTATGATGCTCCACTACCCTCAATTTACTGATTTTTTACGACTATGAACACGCAAGCATCCCACGAAAAAAAACTGTTGTGAAATCACCACGGCGCTCATGAAGGCGAATGCACCGAAACGTTAGCCATACAATGCTAGTGTAATAAAAGCTAACATTCATAACGAAATTAAGCAGTGTTGACCTGCGTTCTCGCTCCACTCTTCACATTCACCATGGTTCTTCCGAGAGCGGTAGAAACGGGATAAATGGAGAAGAAACTTCCCATAAGAGATGTCAATCCAATGGCATATAACTCCTGTGTATACGGTTTACATATAACGTACGGCAGCCAAGAAGCGAAAATGATATTTTATAAGAGCAACTACAAAAAAAAAGAAAACGGGTTATTCTAGACGGTAAATGTTTAAAACCTCAAGAGAGGTACGAACAGCTCTAGTGAGAGGATTCTACATCTAGTTTAGTCGATTACTGTAAGTTTTTCCCTCTTATCTTTTGGCTTTACTGTATACGTGTGGATCCCATGACTTCTTACATTCGATTCGTTTCCCTCCATCTATAACGCATAAGCGTCTTCCGATTTGCATTTGGGTTAGGCTTTAACTTGACGATTTTCGAAGTTTTTCATGAATGTCGTCGATTGCTGGTCCAGTAGATTATCCCTGGAATCACGGATAGCTGTGCTATTACTTCCCTAGATCTTCATCACAGGAGGCCGACAGCCCTTGTGGACGCAATCATTGCCATGCGCAACTCCCACTTCGATCACTCCACTAGAATTTTCTTGTTTTCTTTCAACAACTGACTCTTCGTTTCAAAATATGTTTTGCGCCCAATTTTGTTTCTCTTTGTTCGATTTTATGTTGTCACTAATTTAAAGCACACACTTATTCCCGAATTCCAACATTTTTTTTATGCGGACAAAAATACCACTGCTGTATCTGATAAACGAAGCCGTTTTTCATCGTGTGGTTCATCGTTGTTCGAGAACGTTCATGTTGAGATGAGATCTTAGAATGAGGATAGTCGACAATGATCTCATAATCAATCTTGGCCATTTAAACACTTCTATTGGAGGAGATTTATGAGAGTTAAGACCAGCTAAGAGCAAACCAACACCAGGATCCACCGTGGTCCTAGTATCAAGCTAGTCGCGTGGTGGCAAATCTACCTTTGAACCACAAAGGCGGCGACTACCTGTAATGGTGACGACCTGGAGCAGGTTTTGGCCAGGATAATCTCGGGATTCCAGGAAACCACAATGGCTAAACCAGTAAATCTCCGAAAAGCGGAGATTACGCTGAGGCCCGCACAACCAGTGAGGACGGGCCGCCCAACTGTCCAAGTGTGTGTGATCTATGGAACCCCGTTCATTGGACCCAATTTTGACAAATGCCTCCCGCAAATGAAAAAAAACGTAGAGACTATTGTTGCAAAAAATTTTCCGCGCTGCTTCAGCGTAATAAAAGCCTGAGTCACATTGGGAATTGAGAGCAACTATGTAGCAAGTAACTCGAAAGACCGACTTTCTATGAACCTCGGCATAAATAGTTGATATATTTATTTATGTGATCTTATAAACGGATCTTCTTAAGTTGACGCGAGGTTGGTACAGATCTTCGTTGTCGTTGTTGTTGTTTTTGATGTTATTGAACGATAGCTGACGTTTCGGCGACTTCGCCTTCCTCAGAGCCTGGACGTACTTTATGTTAGAATACTTTTTATTATTCGGTGGAAAAGAAGGTTAAAGTATTAATGAAGATCAAACTTTCAAATAGACGCCATATTGAACAGAAAGGCCACTCACCGTGATGTTATGTGCGGGACTGGCCGACACGTAGTTTACGCGAGCAAGACACAACAGAGGAAAAAACATCAACGCGCAAAACTCTTGAGGTGTTTTGGATAAATTTCAAAAATCCAAAGATGAACCGGAAGGACGAATGCCTCACTATCACGCATGACCTGGCGCCCTATTTCAAAATGATATTTTGACCCCGGGGCGTGTCTTGCTCGCGTAAACTACGTGTCGGCCAGTCCCGCACATAACATCACGGTGAGTGACCTTTCTGTTCAATATGGCGTCTATTTGAAAGTTTGATCTTCATTAATACTTTAACCTTCTTTTCCACCGAATAATAAAAAGTATTCTAACATAAAGTACGTCCAGGCTCTGAGGAAGGCGAAGTCGCCGAAACGTCAGCTATCGTTCAATAACATCAAAAACAACGACAACGACAACGACAACGAAGATCTGTACCAACCTCGCATCAGCTTAAGAAGATCAGTTTATAAGATCACATAAATAAATATGTAGCAAGCATGTCGTTCGCCTCGAAAATTTCGCAGAGTTGAAATCTTTGACCTTGGGGATGACTAGCTGTTATCAGGAATGATCACCTGAAGATGCTTGTTGATGATGTTTTACATAAAGGTGTTTGAAAGCTTTCACAAGAACGTTACACAGGAAGACCAACAGTTTCGAAATTTCTCAATTAACGGAAGGTCAGAATAGTCAGCAAAGAAATACCCACCCACATGATACATTACTTCCATCCCATTAAAAAATTACCGCTCAGCTGGATAGTTGAATGGCCAGCACACATTGGTTCGGCGAGCTCAAACACAATTTCTATTCTCCAGAGATTTGCCGGCTAAGCGATTGTGGTCCCCTGTAGTCCCGAGGTCAGCCCAGCCGTAGCCCTCCTCAGGTTGTCACCACCTTAGCACTCGCCTCTTTTATGAATCACAGTTAGATTTGTTAACATGCGACTAGTTTGTTGCCGGGACGGTGGTGACTCCTGTTATTGGTTTACTCTTAGTTAAGCTTCCGGATGGAAGCCTCGGACTCATTCTCAGCTTGGCAGATAACGTTGTGGGCATGAACAGTCGCTGTACATCGCAGTCCGGCAACTAAGAACCACTCCCAGCCACGATGAAGCAGTAAACCGTTGGAATACATTAGGAAATTATACAATATTGCATTTGCATTGTTCTTAAAAGTGTAAAAATAACGCGCACTCTTTAACTACTTTCTCCTTACTGGTACACAGAGCGATAACAGTTGATAAACAAACTCTTAAAGCAATAAAATAGTCTTATCTAGCTCTATTCTCCACTTTCCCCATTGTTTTATACGCTATCATGATCCCTAAAATCGATTTAGTTCCTGTTTGGCTTTTGTGGTTCCAGACAATACTCAAAAGTGGTTCATCAATATAGGTAAACAAAATAATCACACCTGGTTGTCGTCAATGGCGTATCCGAGTTTCTTTCCGAGCATTTTTGCCATAGAAATGTGTACGGCTATGATGACGATACTAATACCAATCGACTGCATCATGCACTCCTTCAGAATTGACATCGTTGGCAGTTCCGGTTGTGGAAGCCTGTGATAAACCTATGTATCCCGCTGAATCAGAGGCATCCACTTAACTAGATTGTAACACAAGAATTACATTCATCACTCAAAGATATCTCATGGCGACACAATTAAACATGTTTACCTTTTATTTGTTGCATGCCACAATTTTTCACGGCAGGATATTATGCGAAATACAATCTCAACCATACTGAGATATTTACAAAGCTCCGGAAAGCAGGTGTCTGAGGTGGGGAACGAACGCTCTATTACCCTTTCCGGTGGCTAACGCGCTCACCACCGCCACCATCACACCATGCGGGTGCTTCGTTTCGCCTGCCTCTAAGCTAAAACTATAGAAAACTAGCTGAGAGACAGGCGAAACGAAGAACCCGCAAGGTGCGGTAATGAACGCGTTAACACCCGGAAAGGGTAATAGTGCGTTCGTTCCCCACCGCGTACACCTGCGCTCCGGAGTTTTGCAATTATCTCAGCATCGCTGCAATTAAAGATAACCGCAACAATGACCATAAAATCAAAGAAATTTTTGAGAATAACCATAGATTATTACATTGCTCTCTCAACGGTTTACCGCCTCATCGTGGCTGGGAGGTGTTCCTGGGTGTCGGACTGCGATGTACAGCGGGGAGATTCGTCTCTCCGGCAGGGTCTCCCAAGCTGAGAAGTCATGCGTTTCCATCGTTTCCATCCAACCACCCATTTCCATCAGGAAGCCTAGCTAAGAGTAAACCAATACCAGACTCCACCACCGTCCTGGTATGGTATCAAAGTCGCATGGTGGCAAATCTCCCTCTGATCCACAAGGGCTGTAACTACCTGTCGTAGTGACGACCTGGGGAAGAGTTTGCCCAGGCTGTCCTCGGAAAACCACAATGGCTTAACCAGCAAATCGAAAAATGGTGATTATGCTGGAGCCCGCACAACTAGTGAGGACGGGCCGTTCAATTATTAAGTAATTAAGTATTGCATTGCAAGAAATGATGGTGCATAAATATTGCTCGAAACTTAAGACCTATCTTTTCAGCCTGGCGATCAAGAACAGCCAGATGACCGTGTAGGTAGGCATTGTAGGTTAAAGTTTCCTTTACTAGTCTGATAACAAATTTTCTGCTCTTTATGCGGCTTTTTGATGCTTCGAATGTCAGGACAGCCAAATCTTAACAAAATTAGTGCATCCATCTGGGTTAGGTTCAGATTCGGCTTCACACCGACACGCTGCATCTCTGCGGAGTGGACGAGTGAAATTCGTCTATACAAGATGAGAAATGGACTGCAGCATTGTCAAGCTCATGAAAGTCATCGTAAAGTACAGTTTTTGTTATTCCTTACTCTTTTCATAAACGATTGTTAGTATTGAGCACTGTAGAAGAAACCACCGAGTAATGATGCTCACGAATACATTCCTCAAACGTTGAAATTGCCCCAATTTTGCATTTTATGCCTCGAATTTACCTCTACACACCACAAGATGACCTTTGCCTTCTTTTATTCAGTATAAAAGTGTGGCTGCTTTCTTATACATACCCGGCTGGAATCGCTCCGACGATATCCACTGAGTTGTTCTCGTGCCAGTGAAATACGTTAGAGAATGTGGCTGTGAGCGCCACCTGAATTATGGAAATTATTCCTTACTCATTCAAAAAAAAACCGCCACACTAGCTTACCAGAATCAGCTCGAAAGGTATGGGTAATTTGAGGTCGAACTTTTTGTTGAGGTAAGGTGATAAGTATTCTTTGCCAACATATAAAAAAATGATTGAAAAAAGCGATATAACCAGAGCAGCTGGATTCACCTGCGGCACTCGAATGGCTAAATCGTATATTCTCTGAAAATCACAACAAATAAAGCGTTTTACATAGTCACAAAGGATAAAGTGTGAAGCTTTCGGCTTTGATCAATCCCTGTGTTATGTGTCATACATTCAACTTCATCAAGCACCGTTAAAGGTGAATGTGGCCTTTCAATAGCCTGCGGTGGCCTACCGATATACCAGTTCAGTGTTTTTACGTTTCTAGACAAGTCTGTGCAGCTTTGCCAACCAGAGATTGCTCAGGGAGGATGACATCGTTGGTGAGTCTGAGATGGGCGATAGAACCACTAAGTATGCATTGTGGGCCAATTCTAACAACTGTGCTACACTCGCCCTCGAAGCATATTACTCTGCAAACAAACCGCTTTAAAAAGAATCCTGGTGACGACACTTTTCACAAAAAGAAATTGGTCTCGGTAGACCTCAAAAATTCAATTTGATATGGCTGTCTTCAAAAACTGAGTTCAACTGAACATCTGTACTAATTAGTAAATAATTGTGTTGTCACAACTTCTGAAAAAGTTTTTGACGCACGTTTAGCCCAAAGTGACTATCGCTGCGGCCTACTTCGTCTTCTTCAAGACCATCTTTTCTCCCCCTACTTTTTTCTTTTCCAGCGCAAAGTGTTGAACCAACTTGAAATTTTGATATATTCCTCTACTGAGATGAATGACGGACGTCCAGTTTCGAAAGAAACCGCAAAGTGTTTTAGTTTGGATAAAGCAAGACTTTATTAATCAAGATAGAAAGAACAATAGTTTAGCTTTTTTGCCAATAAAGAGATTTATTTGCTCTGATAGCTTAGCGTTATCAAGCCAAAAGTTTTTCGAAGAAATTTTCAGCAACGACCTAATTGATGATTTTTGCCGGGAAATAGTTGCAGAGGTAACTGGTACAGCATAGGATCGGCGTGATCCGATGAGTATAGTGTATGAGACAGGGTACTGTGTCGTAACTCATTCAACTTCTTCAGTTTCAGACCACCCACCCCATGTATGTGAAAGTTGTCGTACTTCAGGGCTGCATACTTTCTACTATCCAATGCTGCATGAATAAGCTATAGTTCGCCGATTTCGTGCCATCGGTTCTCTGCTTTGCGAACGTCGTAAATTATGGCAGACTGAGGCAGCTACATACGACCCCAGACAGCCACCATGGCTTTCTCCTGGTACATAATCAGGCTTCGTATCGGCTTTACCATTGGGTTGATATTCCTTAATCGTCTTACAGACTTCAGTTTTGATCCTATACCACCACCAATCAAAAAATGACCCGTTTTTCTTGTGTAAATGGAACGCAGAACCGGATTCGGAGAGGAGCTCTTGATATTGTTCATTCAATGCTTGCGGCACATCATATTTACCGAACTTTCTCACCACTCCGAAGTCTTCCCAATGAGAAACGATAAATTACTTTCGAATGCTTCCTTTTCCACTTCATCGCAAGTAGTTTCCAGAGTACTTTATAGCTTTGTCTGCTGCCTTCATATGATCACTGTCGATTGCTGAAGGGCGCACTCGATCATCAGCGTCATGAGCACCTACATCTTTGATATGAAGCCTTAAGAACCATCCGTACATTATGCCTTCGGGGTCTTTCACCATGCTAATGCTTCGATCACATATCAACGATCATACTTTCACAACGTTGATAAGATATTTGCAAAACTCTGGACCGCAGGTGTCTATGGTGGGGAACGAACGCGCTATTATCCTTTCCGGGGAGTAACGCGTTCACCACCACACCATGCGGGTCCTTTGTTTCGCACGTCTCTCAGCTATTTCTATCGATCTTTTTGCCACAGCAATCACCCGTCAGCGGGGTTGATCTGGAGAGCGCAAATCGGCATAGAACCCAGTTAAGCTATGGCTGTAGTTGAAATCACAATGTTTAACGTTTTGTTTTCTGCCTTCTATAATTTTCATGGCAGGTTACTAAGCGAAATACAACCACAACCTGCCATGAAAATTATAGAAGGCAGAAAACAAAACGTTAAACATTGTGATTTCAACTACAGCCATAGCTTAACTGGGTTCTGCGCCGATTTGCGCTCCCCAGATCAACCCCGCTGACGGGTGATTGCTGTGGCAAAAAGATCGATAGAAATAGCTGAGAGACGTGCGAAACAAAGGACCCGCATGGTGTGGTGGTGAACGCGTTACTCCCCGGAAAGGATAATAGCGCGTTCGTTCCCCACCATAGACACCTAAACTGACAAAGTTTTTTGTCTTTTCTCGTTCAATCCATATTCATAGAAGTTTAGGCCAACTGTTCCATCAGTAGGTTGCTTTTCCACCCTGGACATTTCAATCTTGATGAGAAAGCTATGTGTGGTGTTCCGCGCTTTTATGCCAGCTAAATCTCTTAGTTTTTCTCCACTAAAGCAGTAATCTTTTACTGTGTTTAACATTTTGACTAAATATGCTGTTAAGTAGTAATAGAAGGTGAAGAGAGTGGACTTAATTAGAGATCTAATATCGGCACTTATTCATCAAGTGCACGTGTCGTGTGTCGATTAGATTTGCCTATAGTACACAAGCGATCTTTAGTTCGATCTTGCGCCGAGGACAACTGAGCCCTCTCTACCTCCGATCAGCAAACTGTTGTCAGACTTTTCTAGGAGGATAAGTGATACTTACATGACAATTCATTAGATTCGTGCTGAGCAAACACGAGGTGTTTTATTAATCTTGATTTGAATTTCCTCTGTTTGGTTATGGAGGTGTTTGGCTGGGCACATTGAGGTCAATTTGACCTTTACAGGATCTGAGAAAGGCTGACTCCGCCGAGACGTCAGCTTGTTCGTGAATAAAGAATAAAATAATACCTTGTACTTGCTCAAGAAGAATATAAAGAATTGTTTGATCAATACCAACAGAAAGTCGGTCGTGGGAATTACTGACATTATACGTTAGCAGGCCTCCGCAAGTGATGGTCCAGGCTAACAATCCTACTGCGATGCTATGAATGCAGTCGAATACAGAACTCATCTCTGTGGGATTGGAGAACGTCGAACTCTTCTATCCATTAGGACAACTATTCAATCTAACTAAGTCCTACAATGAAAACGTATCCTGCACCCGAAGCCTTCGGAACCCGCACACCCATAATGTCATCGATTTGGGCAACGAGAACGTGTACAGCAGCTCCTTAAAAACAGGGTAAAAGGGGATCTAAAATTGAAAACAGTCCACGTAATGTTTGCTCCAGTTTATCTTTTTTTGTCTTCAATGTGTTGTAAACTCCCACCTGTGGTGAATCCGGAGACGAGTGGATCCGAAAAGTACGTCATGAGGAACTGAAGCCGAAGTAAACCGCATAAAATCTGTAATCCATGTATTAGAAGGATTTTCGGGAATAGGCCTCTGTGCAAATCAGAGGGAACTTCCGCATGACATAAGATATGGTCCACTATGAATATGTAGTTGAACAACAGAAAATATATCAAGGTGGTGAAAAAAGACAAGTGCCATGTGCCTATGAAATCCTTGAGATCGAGTGTAACAATTGGAGAAGGAAATTCGAAAATTGCTGAAAAGTAAGCAAAAATAAGAAGATCTTTTTTCTTTCAACAATTTCCGGTATTTGACATTCAATTAAGCACTCGTAGAGCTTTAGAAAAGTGGTAGCCATTGACGTCTACAGTTCGATGTGAATTGATTTTACCCATAGATGAGTCGCAGACAAATCTGCCGAAATGAATTAATATCCAACCAATTTCTTTCCGATGGCTTATTTTAGCAAACAGATCCTCCACATTTATCAGTCTTCAAAAATATTGCTCTTCAGAAGAGTCTATTCGTCAGATCACGATGACCGTTGCTGCTGGTGAGAGTACAAAAGATAGCGAGAGTACCACTGATTAAGAGAGCACTGAAATCTCCCTATGTCGATGGAAGGCGGTAGGTATACGAAATTATGCCTCAGACTCTAACCTTCCCATCAGATATAAAGGATAAACTGACAATAAAGTTTCTCCATGAGACTTCAACTGTTGCGTTTACAATTTATTCAACCAGCATTTTTTCTTACAGATTGCCGTAAATTTGGCGTTTCTTATCACATCATAGCTAACATTTCTAGTGTACGACGAACCTGCCAGATTCCGATAGCAAACGTGAGTGTGGTGGCAACTTGAATGGGGGTCACTTCGGGATGCGTGATAGCTTCGAAGTGACTGTTGTTCCTGATTAATTCCACTATCCCTCCGCCATGCTTCGACATCACGTTATCGTTCGCCACGCCGGCCATCAACGCTACTACCGCAAATGAGCCTGCAATAGTAGCATCGTTCAGGATTCTCATGAATGATCGAACTGTAGCAGTTCGGTTCAAAAACAGTGGACAATCTAAATCCAAAAGTAGAAACACATAATTTTTGGGCGTTCAAACTATCTAAGATTCGCTATTCCTTTTCTTCGAATGGAATCAGAGATAGCTCGACGACAGCACCATCATAATCATTTCTAGCCACAGTAATTTCGGTGCCTACTTTATCAATACCGAATGTTAATGCAGTATGTAAACCGGAACTGATGAATTCCACAGCTATGTCGGCTCAATCCATCTACAACTGCAAATGAACTTAATGAATATGAAATCATTCTCCGCAACCTGAGCTAGCTAGCAAACACATTCCAGTTTATGGGAAAAAATTAGTGGAATGAGTGGGATGAGCTCTGTAAGTCTGGAGACGTAATTGATGTTACGTCAAAGTAGAGCATTCAAATGTGGTACCCAATCTTTATAGAACTGCTATGATAGAAAATAGATTTTTTCCTTCTTGCCACTTGACAATGGTCTGCGAAATAAAACGTCTCCGTCTTCATCAGACTATTGACTCAGATCGTCGGCTCCAATGAAGAGGAAGACGTCGAAACCTTAGCCTAAAGAATTAGCTGAGAGACAGGCGAAACGAAGGACCCGCATAGTGTGGCGGTGAACGCGTTGCTCCCCGGAAAGGACCATAGCGCGTTCGTTCTCCACCATAGATACCTGCGGTCCAGAGTTTTGCAAATTTCTCAGCAACGTCGTGGTAATAAAGAACATTTATTCATTTTTATTTTATCAACCTCGTAAAGGCCTGTCAAAGAAATAATACATGTTGGTTAGTAATAGTTTAAGGGAAGATCGGTTTTGAAATAAAATGCCTCCTTTTTTTCCTAACGTTAACCACAACTCTTTCAATTACGCGACCAACTCGAACACGGGAGATAAAATGTCTGAAATAAAACTCTGAAAAGCAAAGCCAAATTCGGTGCAAAAAGACAAAAAATTCTAAAAAAAAATTTTTGTGTGCGCATGTGATGAAACCACCATCGCGTTCTCAGCTGAAATGCGTTAAAAAGCAGGTTGTGTAATCTGACTTAGCAAGAGAGCGAATGATCTCCAGAACAACGTCTTTGCTTGCTTGATCACCAATATAAAATCCTACGACTAGATTTGCGGTAATCATCTCGTCAACTTTATTAGGAACTTACAACGTACCAATCGAGGCATGTCGTGACGTGCCGAAGAACATGTAGAAGAACGCAGGAAAGCACGAAGCATACAGGCCGTAGACGGGATCCACACTGGCCAGTGTCGAGTACGCAATTCCTGAAATCAGTTCGTTACCCATTGCCTCTATTTTGCCTATCATTGGAAAACAATGGCAGTAAGACTACTTCGATTGTGAAGCAGAAATCTCTTTTCAATCAAATTTTCTTTATTGCACTGAATTTCGTTTGGAATTTTTGGCAAAAAGTTGAAATAAAATCATAAATTAAGAAAGAAAAAATTCTTAGCTAACCAAAACATGTGAGCCCTTTCGAGCAGGAGGATTGTCCAGGATATTCTACAAGAGATCTCTACTAAGCATGTCACCAGCAAGAGCCACAATGCTTACCGATGACGTGCGATAATATACGCATAGTCGCTGGTTCAAAACCAGCCAACCAATCGAAGTGGAAAAACATGGAAATGACTTGATATGGTGACGGATGTGATGTAAAGAACAGAACGAAAAAGATGCTGAGACCTGCGCAATATCTAGTATTGGGTCGTGTAGATAAAATAAATAAAAATTAGGTTTCTTCAGAGCTTTATCCTGCATAATATTGCGTGAATAACTACTTCTCCTTTGTCGATAGATGACTTTACATCTCCACAACAGTAAAGACAACCTTTACGGCGGGTTTTTTCGAGAAGTAAAACCAACGATTAATTCAGCCTCCTCTCATGTAAAATGAACCTTCCAAAATATAGAAGTGTTTGCTCAGAATTTTCAAATGAAACACATTTAGTCGACAATGACCGGTGGAAATGTAAGTGTTGTGGACTGTAAATTTTACAAGAAGTTTCGGATATCCAATGAATCAACCATGTCTCTTCTGAATGATAAATTAGAAAATAACAGATAAAATTAACAGACCTTGTGGTACATGCATGATTCCAGTAGTGAGTCCGCCGATAATGTCCGGCATAAGGTCCTCTTTGAAGGCATAACGAGGAAGCCAGTCGAGGATCGGCATAAAGCCAAAGATGGTTTGCAGGAACGGCCTACATCCCGTGAAGGGATAGCAGTACGAGTCATGAAGTGCCCTCGAATTCATTCTTGGTCACTGTTCATCTATCATATCATTGGTGAATATTACGCACACCTGCCAAGCTGTCGGAGCACCGGGTCCCTTTGCGCCTGTTTATCACCGTATTCCGCATCGTATTCCTCCTAAAAGAGAAATTTTGTCTACTACTTATCGAACCTTTTTGTTCTCTCACAACCACTGCGAAGAAAGTCGTTTAGAAAATAATTTTCTTTGTGCATAAGTTTTTAAAAATTGGAGGAGAAAGAAAGAAGAAAAAGAAAATTTGAGTTTTCCGTGGATGTGCATGAGTAACGAGATGTTTTTGTTTTTCAAACCTCATTCCAGATTGCCTACTAAACTGACTTCTTGGAAAACATTTTCAACCACTAATAGATTCAGAATGCAAATGTTCAGATTTTCCTCCACTTCCAGTAGATAGTAAATTTGAATTAAAAGATATATGAAGGGATTTAATATCATCAGACTTTGACAAAGTATGTAAGCGATTGTACAAACGCATCTGTGTAAAGTCAAGATTTAGGCGAAATCCGCAAAACTCAAACAGCTAAAAATAGGAAAAAGGTCTTAGACAAAACCCAATATTGTGAGCACAAACTATTGAGCCGCACAAATAGCTCAAGACCTTTGAAAGTGGGAATTTTCTAAACTTCCTTTTCAAATAATCATATCGTGCAGACGGTGGGTACGGCTACTAAGTAGAGATCTCTAGTTCTCTTCAATGAATGCTGTTCAATACTAGGAGAATCGATTCTCCGTGGAATCCGTCTGGGAGGATAGCAGCATTGGCTCGGGTAGGCCACCGCAAGCCATTGTAAAGGCCAGGCATGCATTCAATCACCTCCAACGATACCTAATAAAGCTGAATGCATTGCACATCCCTCAGGGATTGATCAACGCCAACAGCTTTATCCCTTCATTATACTCACTCGATACATTCACAACGATGACCTCTGCAGGAGTCGTTTGTAAAGGTGTATTGTAGCCGGTACGACCAATACAGAGGTTATTCTGTTTCTGACGGTTGATCTTGTCCAAAAGAATCTTTTCTAAGATTTTTTCAATCAATTGATAACTTGGTCAACTCAGATTTTATGGCGGGCATTCAATAAGAAGACCTCTGTTCTGCACTCAGAAATTATTTATTAATTAAGAAATTAGAAAGAAAATAAACATTTTAAAAAAGTGCAAAGAACAATATTGAACTTCTATTTATTGCGCCTTACTTTTTTCACGGCAAGGTATTAAGCGAAGTGCAACCAAACGATGCTGAGATATTTGCAAAACTCGGAACTCGAGGCCAGAATCGAGAATGTGATATGCGGTAAATAAAATTCAAACATTATGATTTCGAAAACAGCCCTAGCTTAGCTCTGTTCAAAGCCAATTTTTACACCGCAGATCGTTGCCGTTGATGAGGTAATTGCTGATAGCACCGTTAAGTAGAAAAGTAGCTGAGAGAAAGGCAAAGCAAGGGTCTCTGTAGTGCAGTGGGCAACACGTGAGCCTTCGGGAAAGGTAATCGCGTGTTTGAATCTAGCCTGCGATCTAAATTTTGCAAACATGTTAGCATCATTGTGATTTTACAAAAGACTTTATCTGGGGTAACATCACTGACTGTTAATTTGACTCGAAGCTATCAGCTGTTTCAATTCTAGTCGTTATAATGATTCATGGTTATCTTATGGAATAGAGTGGGCATAACAAATAGATAAACAGAGGCCGGTGTAAGCTTCAAATCCCTTCCAGTTGCTGATATTAGTGCTTTCTAATAATGAACCCTAGAGGCATGTAGTAAATAATAACATCCATACCATTCATATCCTCACGGATCTCCCTCATACAAGGGATCTCGAGCCGGTTAGTCGCAAGGCCATATGGCGCGCCCCCAGGCGGCGGATAGGGGGTTAATGGCGGACCAAAAGCGACCTTTGCTTCCTTAAGACAGAGGTGGATCCAGGGGATGGACTCCCTGTTTCTGCTGCGCCGATTTGTCACATAGTTCCTGTATTTGGGAGGCGTATTCATGCATGCGTGTGTGGGTGCGCTCTCGCTTATGCAGATTGTAGTCTACGAGTCAATTCACCCAAAGGCCTTCAATCAAGTGACAGGGACGTATTTGGGAGGCGATTAGAAGTCGCCTCCAACAAATAAGCTCCATGTCCACTCTACGAGAGCCTGGCAAGCTACCAGTGAGTATACCCAGCCCCACGTTCAGAGCCCGGCAAGCTATTCGTGGGCATCAAAAATGATAAACACAGAAAAAAACGGGCCTCATTCGCCTGACCCCGAAAAAGCTCCCAATTAAGCAGCGTTGAGTAGGGCGAGTACGGAGAGGCCACTAAAATCTCAGGGCCAATGGAAGCCGCCTGGATTTCAAATAACTATGGTGACCATCTGTACCTACAGTGCACGCACACTTGCATCCGAGTCCTCGATAGAAGGCTTGCTCATGCAAGCAAGAACGATAAGGTACGACGTCATCGGCCTGGCCACGAGTCCTCAGCCTTTCAACGCAATCTATGACACCGGAGAACAATTGTTCCTCGGAACATGCGACAGTAGGAGAGTCGCGGCGTCGGCGTTCTCATCGACACGAGTTTGTCCATGAACATCGATTCATTCGATCAACTTACAACTCGAATCGGACGTTTACGATTAAAAAGACGTGGATCAATTCCGGGTTTGATAATCTTCGTCGTTTACGCGCCGACATCAAACTATGACGAAGAAGAAGTCGAAGCGTTCTATAACAAGTTCTACAGAGAAAATCACACATTCTTCAAGGTCATCATTGGAGATTTCAACGCCACGATTTGACCAAGAAGAACCTCTGAAAAACGTCACATTGCAACCCATGGATAAGAATGGAACGAACAGGGTGAGCGGCTATCTGAGTTTATCATGGCGACCAACAATCCATGGTAACTCGCAATTCCAGAAGCCCCACCCTCCGCGCTGGAAGTGGGGGTCTCCCACTGGGGAGTACCATAACGAAATAGACCACATCATAGTAAATAAAAGGTTTTGCCTAACCGATGTCGCTGTTGTCCCAAAATTCTACACGGGATCGGATCATCGTCTCCTTCGTGTAAGATTCTATCTCTGGCGGAAAGGAGAAAAAGGCACTAAATTCAAAAACCGAAGTCCCAGAACCACCGTAAACTGGGATTTCTTCAATTCATTAGTCGCCTGTTGGGAAGATGCCGCTGTCCATAACATCGACGAAGAATACGATCGGCTCATTCAACATCTTCACGCTAGCGATATGAGAGCTCAGAGTTCGAAAGTCACCAAGAGACGTCCGTCTCCAAAACACTCGCGGTGATACGCCAGCATGGTATCGCACGACCTGCAGACAACCGCGAATCAACGTCCGAACTTGCAAAGCAATGCAGAGAGGCGATAAAAGAAGATCTTAGAGAGAGAAGAGTAGCAGTAATGGCGGAAGCTACAGAGGCTGGGAAAAGCGTTCGCAAAGCCCACCGAAGCTTCGTCAATTACAAGACCAAAATGACTGCTCTCCACAGCCCAGACGGAACAGTTAAAGCGTCCAGAAAGGTAATGAAGAAAATCATTCACGAATACTACTCGGATCTCTTCGATAGCCACGTCCACCTTCCGTCATATGAAATAAAGGACGATGGTTATGTTGTACCACCGGTTCTCCCTTCCGAAATCCGACATGCCAATTCGTCGGTGAAAAATCTAACAACACCAGGTCCGGACAGGATAAGACCAGAACACCTGAAGAATCTTCCACCAGTCCTCGTAAACACACTGGCTCGGCTCTTCACTTGTCACCTGTCTGAATGCAAGGCCTGTACTCAGTGGAAGACCAGCATAACCGTGTTATTGTTCAAGAAGTGTGACCTACACGATATAGGCATCTACCGCCCAATCTGCTTGCTGTCTGTAATCTACAAATTTTTCGCTCGAGTCATCTTAAACAGGATTGACTGAACACTAGACGAAGGACAGCCATGTGAGCAAGTAGGGTTTCGAAAAGGATTTAGCACGATGGATCACATCCATACGATAATAAGACTCATTGAAGTATCGCGAGCGTACAAAAGACGGTTCTGTCTTTCTTTCATCGATTTACTGAAGGCCTTTGATTCAATTGAGATAGAACCAGTCTTGGAAGCCCTTAATAGTCAAGGAGTCCATACTCAGTACATAAAGTATAGTAACTATTCCTTTAATAGTTCCTATTCTCTATAGTATCACATGTTTCCTATACTGACTATTCGCCTATAACTATCTTAAATCTTTCGATTCATAATGTATAAGTCTTTAGACCATTTCGACATGTACTTTCAGTAGATGCCTTTGTACAGGCTATTCCATCTCTTTCACAAGACCTTTTGATAAGCCTTTGCGTTGTTTTTATATGACCTTTCTATACGAGCTATTCCCTCGCTATCTGATCAAGTTCTATGTTGACCAAGCCGCTGGCATACCGTCTTATCTGATGTACTTCTCTGCATGCACCATGTCATGCCTTGAATCAGCACTATCTCTAACTCTTTCTGTAAACTCCACCCATTACAGACAAAATAGGAGGAGCTTCAGTAGTCTTAGAGACGAGTGTCTGCCTTCCAAGCTACCAGTGGTCCAACTCTAGGGTCCACCTAGCTTCCTTCAACTGTACTTGCTCACATTTCAATCTAACTCGTATCCACCCAGCTTACATATCGTCAAATATCACACATTATTATTGTATCGTTATTGTCGCTATAAAGCGTTATATCCAAACTCGAGGTTGTTCAAGACAGTTACGGAGAAAAGTCCCGCATGGCGAATTCATACAAAGTCGAGCATTCCACGTACAGTTGGCATACAAAAGACCAATCCGACCAACTCCCTAATCCACTGGCCAACTAACACATAAAGATTGTTGGTGAGCTGAAGAAAAATTTCACAAC